TAATATTTATAAATTGTAATATGACACAGCTATATATTATATTTTTACACACTGTTACGCGTCTATATTTACGTATGTATAATATTATATCCAGGTATCCGCAGATACAGGCGTCGTGGTACCCCGTCGCGGCATATGCTGAGCGAAGACCTATTTGGCACCACAATGAATAATCCAAACTGTATTTATTAAACTCCATTTAATGTATATTTTAGGTGGACTTATGAAAAAAACAATTTTTTTTTTCTTTCTTATTTTTATTAGTTTGTACCATCTAATAGGTGAAGTTTTGGTACCTTACTGGCCACTCAAAATTTCTTAACATAAAAGAGAATGTATTTTTTTAATGTCATCAAAATTACGATTATATCTGTTTGCATATTTAAACGATCTTATGGCGAATCTACGGATAGCGCAGCACCACCGTTGCCTAGCGACGTTGGGAGACTGAAGAACAAGCCTGTCATTTTGGAACCTAATCGCTTCTGTTCTTTTACATTTAATATTCAATTTATATATCATTATCATTACATGGTATAAAACAAAGTCGCTGTCGCTGTCTGTCCGTTCCTATGTATGCTTAAATCTTTAAAACTACGCAATAGATTTCGAAGCAGTTTTTTTTTAATAGATAGAGTGATTCAAGAAGAAGAAGAATTATATGTATAATACATGTACACCCGGGCGAAGCCGGGGCGAGTTATAGTTAAACCATGCAACCATTGTAAATAACGCAAGAATATAAATTTGTAGGTACATAGCCACCACTGGACTCGTTATTTGATCTTCCTCCACCTGTCGCTGCCTGTACCAGATGAGCATAACATAATAGGGGTAACAACCAAGCTTCTAAAATCTTTGCTAAATTTTTAATCTTCTTACTCTATATACAGTGGACCCGCGGTAATCCGGCCCCTGCCTAATCCGGCCCCCCTTGTAATCCGACATTGTCTATTATTTGTTATTGAATATTACTTTGACAATATACTTCAGAGTGCATATACATACATACATATATAACATAGCATCTTATCACTGGATCTGTAATTTGTCGGATTACAAGATACTCTTTTGTAAAAAATTCCGGACTATAAGCAGAGGACCCTTAAGGGGTCTTCCTATGTGATGGGTTGAAAAAATCGATTTTTTTTTTTCATAAATTGCTGCCCTTAACATGTCTAAACTTGAAGGTCTAGAATACGGTAGTAAAGCGATTTTAGAAAATTCGAAGTCGTCTCTCTAATGTATATAAGGTAAAAGAAAAGGTTCATCAGTTGGCATTAGAGACCGGGCCTATTGTGTACCGTCGGCTTTATACCTGGCCTCCCTTTTATTAATATATTTGTTTATACAAGTTTAGACATGTTTCTACAGACTTAAACAGAAATTTCTATTGTTATAATATTTTACCGAAGTTATTTTAGTCTTGTTTGAACTTCGAAGACTTAAAACAGTACAAATTATTTTTTTTCATAATGAGTGGACGGAAAGGAATTACGAGTGGAAATGTTTATCCTGGTCGTAGTAAAAAAAGAAAGTTTAGTGGAAACCGTTTTACCCACCAAAATGATACGGTATTTACATCAGCTTCGGCCAAAAAACTTAAAAAAACATGAACATGAATGTTCCCATCGCTCGAATTTCGCATATTGCATTTTGGAGTTTGTTTCAGATTTGCTGCAATCTCTGAAATAGTTATATTAAAACTTGTAAAAGTGACGTGTCTATTTCGCGATCAAGTTTCCGAGGCCTAGGCTTTGAATTTTTGATTTGACTTTAGCTCCTAAAATATCTGGTCCCAAAGTTGTTGAAATTTAGCTACTTAGCGTTATTATCTTTAATGAAGGTTTTATAGGTATTTTAATTATGTCGATTATGGGATGCCCTGTTTCTGAAGATATGTTGAGAAACGGGATGATAGCGAATCTTACGCTCTAGCGGCGCGTAAGTTTGTCGTTGATTGACTCAAGAGCTGAACAATCTGCTTTAAAAGAGTTTCACGAGGAAGAGGCGAATACTGTATGGACCAGGCATCGCCGATTATAAGTTGATATTTTAATAGTTTTTAACGGACTTGGAAACTTTAAACGCGTTTTTCTCAAAACTGTGTTTTTCAAACTTTCCTCCATTGTATCTCAGAAACACTGGACCGAATTACTTGAAATTTACAGGGCACACTCAATATATTTAAACGCATGGAATTAACTATTATCAATCTAAAATTTTCAAAACTTCGATTTTTTTATAGAAAAAAAAAAAAAAAAAAAACGCCTAATTTGCAACTTTTATTTCAAATGTCTATCAAAAATCCAATTTTTTTTATATTCATTTGATTATAGGTCATTCCGTGCTTTTGCCTACAAAAAAATTAGATAAGCCGATCAGCCGGAATGTGGAGGAAGTGGGAGCTCTTTTTTTCGAGGCGGGGGTGTTCAGAGCTTGTAACTCTATGTGAATATTTTTAGCTGAAATTTTATATTTATTTCCAAATATGTGTTAATAAATGAAAAAAATTTGAAGCTCTAAATATTTACTGGTCGTAGATGAAAAAGCTAAAATATCCCTAAAAAACAGGCCGTCACATAGGAAGACCCCCTTAAGCAGCACTCTATAATCCGACAAATACGATGGTCCGACACTGCCCTGCAAAACGTTTGTCGGATAACCGGGGGTCCACTGTATATGTATATAATATAAAGAATCATCATTGGATCTATAATTTGTCGGATTACAAGGTACTCTTTTGTAAAAAAATTCGGACTATAAGGGGTCTTAGGCGGTACTCTATAATCCGACAAATTCGATAGTCCGACACTGCCCTGCAAAATGATTGTCGGACTACCGGGGGTCCACTGTATTATAAATTTTTTTAGGAAATATTCGGTAGTATGAGGTAAAAATATTTGCGATTTCGTCTACTCTTAAAGAAAGCGAGCACAATAGATCTGTAGATCTATACAGGTCGCAGTGTTGCAGCTCTCTTTAGCACAGAGTAATAGCACAAATCACTTAATAGTTTTTTTTTTTAAATGAAGAAACACTTGTGTTTACACTTATACCATTCAGAGAATCATTCAGTCACCTAACGAAGTGTTTCATTTCATTTTGTTAGAACGTAAAGTGAGATTAAGTTGTTTGAATTTAGCAAAATGTTACTAATTTTTGTCGGTTTAATATTAACAGTGGAAGCTGTACCTTCTGCAGAGGTACATAAAGATCAATGTGAGTTGTAATGAAGTGGTCTAGCGGTTTAGCACATCGCTTTACTTCCGATGGTCGCGGGTTCGAGCCTCGCACGGCACAAACATTTGTATTCATGAGTATGATTGTTTGCATCGGTCTTGTTGTTTTCTATGTATTTATTTGTAAACTAGCTGTACCCGCGACTTTAACTTTGTTTTTCTAAAACAAAAGTTAGCTTAAGTTACTCCTTATTACATCAGCTACCTGCCAAAAAAAGTCCCGTCAAAATCGGTCCAGCCATTTCAGAGATTAGCCGGAACAAATAGACAGCCAGACAAAAATTGTAAAAAATGTTATTTTGGTGTATGTACCGTATTCATATTCATATGCATGTAGTAAAAAACGGTTATTTCAACATTAGAACAAGACAATCTGTGTATGTGTGTATGTCTGGTTGTATTTATATCTTATATATAAAATTCTCGTGTCACAGTTTTCGTTCCCATACTCCTCCGAAACGGTTTGACCGATTCTCATGAAATTTTGTGAGCGTATTGAGTAGGTCTGAGAATCGGTCAACATCTATTTTTCATCCCCCTAAATGTTAGGGGTAGTCCACCCCTAAATTTTTATTTTTTAGACAAAATTTTTAGTTTCTATTTTTTTATGATACAACATAAAAAAATACATACAATCCTAAATTTTCACCCTTCTATCATCAACCCTTATTTTTATAGCGTTATTTATATGGCAAAACAACGTTTGCCGGGACAGCTAGTAAATATATATATATATATATAGGTTGTGATTTGGTTAAGACTTTTCGTAATTGATATATTGCTACATCTTCATTTATCAGATATACCAATTCTAGGTACAAATATCATTAAATATAAGTATTATAACCACTACGGGCAAAGGGGATTTCTTTTAAGGATGATAATGGAATGTTGCACCGTCCTGCGCCCACCAGCGTAAACCGTTAGGTTTACGCTGGCGGGGCACCAGTGGAGATACGACATATCTCCACTGGACATAAGATGAACTTATAAAAATATTTTATTCGATTCTCACACGTAGTGGTTTTTTGTTATGAATGATAATGGAATGGTGCACCCGCCTGCGCTAAAGGTTTACGCTGGCAGGGCACCAGTGGAGGATGATAAGTTGAACATGAGGTCAGGACAGTTAGCACATCGTGACAAATTCACCAGGAAATTATCACGATAGCTTCCAGGGGGAACCGCGTAGAGGGAAAAAGGGGATTGTAATGTGGACTGTGGCTGTTCCCCCTGGAAACCATCATGATAAATTTGTCACGATGTGCTGACTGTCCTGACCTCATGTTCAACTAATCATCCTCCACTGGTGGCGCCAGCGTAAACCGTTAGCGCAGGCGGGTGCACCATTCCATTATCATCCATAACAAAAAGTCACTACGTGTGAGAATCGAATAAAATAATAACTTTTCAAATTCAAATTCAAAATATCTTTATTCATGTAGATCTATTACAGACTCTTATGAAATGTCATATCTACCGTCAGTTCGGAATGATATCGAGATGAGAAGAACTGACAAGAAACTCAGCTCGTATTTTTTCAAATAATAGTGGAACATGTTTATAATAATATACAGTCATTAAAATTCAAATTTGGGAGAATAGAGTGACCACCAGCATATGCTATCGCAAAGAACAAAAAATTTAATCAGTGTTCACAACCTGAACAGACCAGTCCCCATAAGCAGCACCCGTTCACGAGTATGACGTATAAAAAAATTATGACATATGGATTTGATTTGCAGACTGTACGGACCCTAGAACGATGAAGAAGCACGGAGCCTACACGGAATGGGCTGATGCGTACTCCTGCTCCCGTCACCGGTGCCAACCAGGCGGCCGCAACCTTGCCGTATACACAGTCGGGTATATGTTTATTTCTGTTTATTCCCGTTCCGTTCCTATCACTTTGGGGCTGTTCAAGTATTACGTAAGCAGATTTATCACAATTATTTACCCCTCATCCCCCGTTGTCAGCAAAAGTAAGCAAAGCTTTTACCCCTCCCCCCATGCTTACGTAAACATTTCTCAATTTATGTATTGTTTTTTTAACAAAGACAATGTGAGGGTTGCCATTCGTGTAAAAAAGTAAATTACGACCGATGACGTAATCATCATACAGACTCCCCCACCCCCATGTCATCCAAAATAAGCAAAGAAAAGACCTCCCGCCCCCCTATAGTGCTTACGTAATACTTGAACGGCCCCTTTATCACTCAAAGACACGACACCGTCCTCCCCGGCGAAGACGACTATAAAACAACTTTTGCCATATTTTGGTCACCGGTGTCAACCAGGCGGCCGCAACCTTGCCGTATACACAGTCGGGTATATGTTTATTTCTGTTTATTCCCGTTCCGTTCCTATCACGTTATCACACGAAGACACGATACCGTCCTCATATTGGGAAGTTTCAGAAATGATACGTCGATGCAGCAGTACTTTTATTTTATTCCTTTTTCAAATTACACTCCACATAAATTGCGTCGCTGTACATTCACGTCTGGTCGTCTCGGTCGCCTCGAACAGAGTGAGAGCAGCCCGCTCCCTCCTTGTTCCCGGCCTCTTTATCTCTATTCCTATTGGTGTTGGCATAATTATAAAACAACTTTTGTCACGTTGTGATTATTCTACCAGTTTTTTAAAATAAAGATATGTGTGGCAACACCGCCAATTTTGACAGATCAGTCGGTTCCCGCGAAAAGGCCGGTGACAAAAAGTTATGTTGGTCGAGGAGTTTCAGGACAATGATAAAAGTGCTCAAACCATAATATTATAAGAACTGCTAATTATTATGTATCATCTATACATATAAATAAAATTGAAGTGTCTGTTTGTAATATAGAAATAGCCGTTTTTTTATAAATGATAAATGTTCAATAGACATTAAGCTCATTTCGTTTCATGCAAAAACACTAAATTTATTCATACATAAAAATTTTTGGTAATCCCGAAAATTTCGGAATTTGTTACAAAAAATCCCGAGATTTTCGGGATTGAAATTTCGGTCTCAATCAAATCCTCTAATTACGCTATTACACAAACACACGACACCGTCCTCGCCGGCGAAGACGACGACCTCATCAAGACCGTACAGCTGAATCAACCTGGCGTTTTTTCACGGCGCCCCCGCTCGCCAATCATTTAATTCTTTATAATTCGTCATTTTGTTTCGCAGCTGCAAACACGTGGAAGCTCCAGAGTCAGCGTTGGAGTGTGAGGAGGTGGTTGAAGATACAAACATGCAGTTCCCTTTCTGCTGTACCAGACTCAGGTAACAAATACAAAAAAAAAACGGTAAAATCCTGAAAAGTGAAACGGCTATCATAACATTTGAGATGTTATAAATAAATAACCCCGGACAATTAACACAGCGCCATCTAGTCCCATGCTAAGCAGAGCTTGTGTTATGGGTACTAGACAACTGATATAAAAACTAAATAGGAGTAATTCAGTCGTAGTGATTAGAGCAGACCAGTCCCTGCAAGCAGCACCCGTTCACGAGTATGACGGATTTTATTCAGATAAACTTAATTTAAGCACTTTTGAATAGTCATAGTTAGCATTCTTTTATTCTACCGCTCATTCGGAAAGCTGTCTCATCACAAGAAGAACGAGCAAGAAACTTGTGTGTTGCTCTTTTAAATAATCATTGAAAAGGCCTTTGTTTCGCAGTGGACGTCTTCCGGGCTGAGATGATGATGATGATGATGATGATAATGATTCAATAATCGTATTTATTTCAGATGTCTGGTCTTGGTCCGTGGTGAGGTATGGACCAGGGTGCTAGGACAACCCTGGGAGACTCTACCAGCTGCACCTTGGAGTCACATGTATAAGATGAAGAAACCTCCACCTAGTGATGATGGACCATTCTTACCCAAGTAAAAAATAAGCTGATAAATTTTATCATTCATCTATACATATAAATAAAATTGGAGTGTCTGTTTGTAATATTGAAATAACCGTTTTTTACTACATGCATATGAATGTAAATACGGTATATACAAAAAATAACATTTTTTACAATTTTTGTCTGTCTGTCTGTCTGTCTGTTTGTTACGGCTAATCTCTGAAATGGTTGGACCGATTTTGACGGGACTTTTAATGGCAGGTACCTGATGTAATAATGAGTAACTTATAGAGCAAGAGCCCACGACTGCCAGACATACGTCATTTTAATAAACGTGAAAGTTCTTGTATGTGTGTCCCCAACACAGGTAAGAACGATCCCCAAATATGAAACCTGGATCGTGGTTCCTTTGGCAGGTACCAGGTAACAAAGGTGTAAAAAAAATCATACCAAATTCGTTATTTTAAGAAACTCCATATTTTCATATATTGTTCGTAGCACTATTATAACTTGCGCTGCTCATTGCCAGACACGTAGTGTGGTTCCGACCCCCCGCCGGACCCCCCTAAACTATACTATTTTATAAATAAACTTACGTCATTTTAATAAAGCTGAAATTTATATATATTATTGAGAGTACTCTCAAACTGAGTTTCCTAAATTGCCAGACAGTTTTCTTGGTTCTTCGTCCTACCAGACTCATTGAAACCGTATATCCCTAAAACGGTGTATACAATTTCATATCAAATTCGTTATTTTAAGATGCTCCATTTTTTCACATATTGCTCGTAACAGTATTATAACTTGCTCTGCTCATTGCCAGATTTTTAGTGTGGTTCCAACCCCCGCCGGACCCCCTAAACTATACTATTTTATAAATAAACTTACGTCATTTTAATAAAGCTGAAATTTATATACATTATTGAGAGTTCTCTCAAACTGAGTTTCCTAAATTGCCAGACAGTTTTCTTGGTTCCTTATCATACCAGACTCATTGAAACCGTATATTGGGTAACAACGGTGTATACAATTTCATATCAAATTCGTTATTTTAAGATGCTCCATTTTTTCACATATTGCTCGTAACAGTATTATAACTTGCTCTGCTCATTGCCAGACCCTTAGTGTGGTTCCAACCCCCCGCCGGACCCCCCGAAACTATACTATTTTGTAAATAAACTTACGTCATTTTAATAAAGCTGTAATTTATATATATTATTGAGAGTTCTCTCAAACTGAGTTTCCTAAATTGCCAGACAGTTTTCTTGGTTCCTTATCCTACCAGACTCATTGAAACCGTATATTGGGTAACAACGGTGTATACAATTTCATATCAAATTCGTTATTTTAAGATGCTTCATTTTTTCACATATTGCTCGTAACAGTATTATAACTTGCTCTGCTCATTGCCAGACCCTTAGTGTGGTTCCAACCCCCCGCCGGACCCCCCTAAACTATACTATTTTATAAATAAATTTACGTTATTTTAATAAAACTGAACTTTATATATATTATTGAGAGAACTATTAAACTGAGTTTCCTAAATTGCCAGACAGTTTTCTTGGTTCCTTATCCTACCAAACTCATTGAAACCGTATATTGGGTAACAACGGTGTATACAATTTCGTATCAAATTCGTTATTTTAAGATGCTCCACTTTTTCACATATTGCTCGTAACAGTATTATAACTTGCTCTGCTCGTTGCCAGACCCTTAGTGTGGTTCCAACCCCCCGCCGGACCCCCCCAAACTATACTATTTTATAAATAAATTTACGTTATTTTAATAAAGCTGAACTTTATATATGTTATTGAGAGAACTATTAAACTGAGTTTCCTAAATTGCCAGACAGTTTTCTTGGTTCCTTATCCTACCAAACTCATTGAAACCGTATATTGGGTAACAACGGTGTATTTTCATATCAAATTCGTTATTTTATGCTCCATTTTTTCACATATTGCTCAAGTAACACGTTGCTCGCTCGTTGCAAACCCTTAGTGTGGACGGACCCCCCTAAACTATTTTATTTTATAAATAAACTTACGTCATTTTAATAAAGCTGAACTTTATATATATTATTATATTAAACGAGTTTCCTAAAAGGCCAGACAGTTTGTCTTGGTTCCTTATCTACCAAACTCATTGAAACCGTATATTGGGTAACAACGGTGTATATATTTACATATAAAATTCGTTATTTTAAGATGCTCCATTTTTTTTATAAATGATAAATGTATTATAACTTGCTCATGCTCGTTGCCAAAAACCTAAATTTTTGTTAATTCATAAACTATACTATTTTATAAATAAACTTACGTCATTTTAATAAAACTGAACTTTATATATATTATTGAGAGAACTATTAAACTAGTTTCCTAAATTGCCAGACAGTTTTCTTGGTTCCTTATGACCAAACTCATTGAAACCGTATAGGTGAACAACGGTGTATTTTTTCATATCAAATTCGTTATTTTAAATTCCATTTTTTCACATATTGCTCGTAACAGTATTAAACTTGCTCTGCTCGTTGCCAGACCCTTAGTGTGGTTCCAACCCCCGTTGGACCCCCCCAAACTATACTATTTTATAAATAAATTTACGTTATTTTAATAAAGCTGAACTTTATATATGTTATTGAGAGAACTATTAAACTGAGTTTCCTAAATTGCCAGACAGTTGTATACACCGTTGTTACCCAATATACGGTTTCAATGAGTCTGGTAGGATAAGGAACCAAGAAAACGATCAGAGCAAGTTATAATACTGTTACGAGCAATATGTGAAAAAATGGAGCATCTTAAAATAACGAATTCGATATGAAATTGTATACACCGTTGTTACCCAATATACGGTTTCAATGAGTCTGGTAGGATAAGGAACCAAGAAAACTGTCTGGCAATTTAGGAAACTCAGTTTAATAGTTCTCTCAATAATATGTATAAGGTTCAGCTTTATTAAAATGACGTAAGTTTATTTCTAAAATAGTATAGTTTAGGGGGGTTCGGCGGGGGTTGGAACCACACTAAGGGTCTGGCAATGAGCAGAGCAAGTTATAATACTGTTACGAGCAATATGTGAAAAATGGAGCATCTTAAAATAACGAATTTGATATGAAATTGTATACACCGTTGTTACCCAATATACGGTTTCAATGAGTCTGGTAGGATAAAGAACCAAGAAAACTGTCTGGCAATTTAGGAAACTCAGTTTGAGAGAACTCTCAATAATATATATAAATTTCAGCTTTATTAAAATGACGTAAGTTTATTTATAAAATAGTATAGTTTGGGGGTCTGGCTGGGGGTTGGAACCAACTGAAAGGGTCTGGCAATGATTTTGAGCAAGTTATAATACTGTAACGAGCAATATGTGAAAAAATGGAGCATCTTAAAATAACGAATTTGATATGAAATTGTATACACCGTTGTTACCCAATATACGGTTTCAATGAGTCTGGTAGGATAAGGAACCAAGAAAACTGTCTGGCAATTTAGGAAACTCAGTTTGAGAGAACTCTCAATAATATATATAAATTTCAGCTTTATTAAAATGACGTAAGTTTATTTCTAAAATAGTATAGTTTAGGGGGGTCCGGCGGGGGTTGGAACCACACTACGTGTCTGGCAATGAGCAGCGCAAGTTATAATAGTGCTACGAACAATATATGAAAATATGGAGTTTCTTAAAATAACGAATTTGGTATGATTTTTTTTACACCTTTGTTACCTGGTACCTGCCAAAGGAACCACGATCCAGGTTTCATATTTGGGGATCGTTCTTACCTGTGTTGGGGACACACATACAAGAACTTTCACGTTTATTAAAATGACGTATGTCTGGCAGTCGTGGGCTCTTGGGCTATTAGGCTACTTTTATTTTAGGAAAATGAAATTCAATTCAACGCGGACGAAGTCACGGATACAGCTAGTTATTTAATAAATTAGTCAACTTGCAGATTTCGGTGGTCTACCGTTTTTGTCACATCACCGATCGATCGCCGTCCAATTCGTCCAATTACAAAAAAATCTAAGTATTTATATCAGTTGTCTAGTACCCTTAACACAAGCTCCACGTAGCTTGGAACTAGATGGCGCTGTGTAAATTGTAATTAAAACATATTTGTATCAGTTTTTTTTTTGTGGATGATAATGGAATGGTGCACCCGCCTGCGCTAACGGTTTACGCTGGCAGGGCACCAGTGGAGGATGATAAGATGAGCATGAGGTCAGGTCAGTTAGCCCATCGTGACAAATTCACCACGAATTTATCACGATGGTTTCCAGGGGGAACCGCGTGGAGGTCGACCTGACATGATACATTGCTAGCAATGGGGTTATCAATCCACATTACTAACAATCCCCTTCCCCCCTATCTGTATCAGTTGTCTAGTACCCTTAACACAAGCTCCGCTTAGCTTGGGACAAGATAGCGCTGTGAATGAGTGATGAAACTGAATTTGTCCAGGGTTATTATTATCATTAAAAAAAGCCTACCGTTACGTGGTTCGCCAGCTTGTTTGCCGTTCCATCCATCACATTATGGAAATATTCTTTCCATTCTAGAAACCCTAATGAGGGACCCATCTACGAGTTGACAGACCAGGATGGGGCGCAGGAGAAAATCCTCAGAGCCAGCAAGAAGACCATAAAGTCACATGACTTCAACGCCACTCCACGAGCAGTTCCAGCGCCAGATATTTTTGTGAGTAGCTTGCAGTAATAATCTAGGACCTATTTGAGGATATTACGTTAGTAACGTAGTGATGATGAACACCATTGCTAGCCATGTTATGTCAGATAGACATGCACGTGTTTCCTCCTAGAAACCATCGTGGTACACTTCTGGTGAAATTTTCACAATATGTTAACTGACCTTACCCTATGCTAATAAACACAAAATTGGCCGTTGGGGCAATAAAGTCCTCGAGTGGCGACCACGGACCGAAAGACGCAGCGTGGGAAGGCCTCCAGCAAGGTGGACCGACGATCTGGTCCAGATCGCTGGAAGGCATTGGATGCGAGCAGCGCAGGACCGATCGTCGTGGAGATCTTTGGGGGAGGCCTATGTCCAACAGTGGACGTCTTCCGGGCTGCGATGATGATGAAACAAAATTTTAAGTGATGCCTGTTTCTGTGAAAGCCGCAGCCCCATCAGCCTTTTCTTACTTGTGGTAACTCCATCATGGAGACCTGTCCGACTCTGGAGAATTCGACGTCTGTTCTAGTATTCTCTAAGTGCTATTTCCGCGGTTCTCACATTCCCCCTGAAACCATCATGGTGACTTGCCATTTGCCAATATGGGTTAAATGACCTGACCTGCTCATCTTAACATCCTCCTGTGATGCCCAGCAAGCGGAAACCGTTAGCGCAGGCGGGTGCACCATACCATTATCATCCATTAAATCGGGCGGGGATCATGAGGCTGTTGTGGCATTCTAGTGTAAGACAATCGAAGCCTGGTTGGAGCACTAGTTTAAACATATTTTTTGTTTTCAGATCGCCTTATCAACGAATAGCGATCAGAAGGGACATAATAAAGAATTTAAGAAATCTGAAAAAGTTCGGTAAATATATTTATTTTTATAGAAATAGAAATAATCTTTCTTCAAATAAACTCATTACAAGCAATTTTGAATAGTCATATTTTTGATTCTACCACTCATTCGGAACGCAGACTTATCACAAGAAGAACGAGCAAGAAAAGTGTGTTGCTCTTTTGAATAGATGTTTATTGTATTTGCTTTTGCAATAGCATGTGCTGATGGTCACTGTATTCTCCCAAATTTGAATTTAATAATGAATCTGTAATAATACAGTACTTATATTTGAAAAGAATACGAGCTGAGTTTCTTGTCAGTTCTTCTCATCGAAGTCATTCCCAACTGACGGTAGGTTTGAACTATCATAATAGTCTGTAATAGACCTACAGGAATAAAGATATTTTGAATTTGACACACACACAGATAAATGTCATTTGCTTTAGAATTTGAAAATAAATACACAAATATGATTTGGATACACTCTTCATAAGAGTCTGTAATCGTTTTTGCGATGGGTCCATGAATGATTTATATATATTTATAAATTTGATTTAATTTTATGAGACAAGAAAATGACATATTTATGTTGCGCGCGCAGTTATATGGTAGGCCTATACAATATAGGTACACAAATATGTCCATTGTGTTATACATATTTATACTTATTTATATATTAATAATATATATAAATGTTTGTTTGTATACTAAGAGAGAACAATAATTTTCATTTCATTTCAAATACCTTATCACCGCTCGCCATCGACAGGGAATTTACAATATTTTAGACTGCTGCCCCACACTGAGCCCCTAATTGTTTTTGTGTGTTTTGTGGCTAAACGAAAGTAGATAATGAAAAATTGAAGAGGACCTGTTTTGTGCAGAATTTATTTCTCTACAGCTTTTATTTAAAATATTTTTTCATATTTCTTACCATTATCGAGTTATTTTGAAAAAATGCATTTTTCAACCCTTTTTCAATATTTTCATCCATTTCGCGTCAACTTGAAACAATTTCTTTCTGAATATTTATATGTTTTATACATGGTTTAATTTTAAATTTTACTGGCCTACCATGGCTGGCTACACCCATGGTCTCACATGCTAATGGTAGCAGAATATATAAATCAATTAAATAATGAAATGGGCTCCCGCAAATAAAATAAATAAAGTAGATTCACCGGATTTCAAATTCAAATTCAAAATATCTTTATTCATGTAGGTCTATTACAGACTCTTATGATATGTCAAATCTACCGTCAGTTCGGAATGATTTCGAGATGAGAAGAACTGACAAGAAACTCAGCTCGTATTTTTTTTTAATGTTGTACGTATTTACAATAATACTATTTCATTTAAATTCAAATTTGGGAGAATAGAGTGACCACCAGCATATGCTATATAAAAAAAATCAAAAAAATGAAAAAATTTAATCAGTGTTCCCAACCTGAATTTCTTCGTCGAATACTTTTGTAAGATCCAACTAATTATGATGACGACTTAGGCTTTGCAGCCGGCTACCGGAAGAGAAACCCCAAGTAGCGCCCGTGACTTGTGACACGGGTATTGGTTTAACATGCATTAACACTCACCTTCACTACTTGCAGCTTCCCCCCAGGACCAACTAAGTCCGGGATAGACCCGGCTCCAATACAATCCACTTTAGCATCCGAAATACAACCGGCACGCTCTGTGCTCGTCGACTGAATGCCGCGGCTCACCCAACGAAAGAGGATTATTCAACTACCGACCTCCGTATTTATAGATCGAAGTCAGTGTAGTAGGGAGAGAAGCGGGGATAATGGATATCTTATGACAAATAACTTAGTTCGGTCTGTAAATACTAGATGGCGCTATTTACAATATTTGTAATAATCTTTACATTGGGTACTTCATTAGCACTAAACACAAACTACCTTCTATTAATATCTTTTTAAAATATCGGATTTATTACAATATTGATGTGAGCCTTTTAACACTTTTTACAACTTAACTAATGGTATATATATAATTTTTTTATTGTCAAGAAATGACCAAATGAGGCATAAACGGACCCGAGTGCAACCGTCAAACTCGTACGATGATGATGCTGCAGAGCATCACAAAGACCTGGAGAACGAGGAGCTAGCCACAGAAAAGGCTCAATTAACTGTATGTATCATCTGTTTATATCTATCTCTATTTCTTTATTAGCCTCGGTGGTCTATCGGTTTAGCACATCGCTTTACTTTCGATAGTCGCGGGTTCGATTCTTCGCACAGTAAAACATTTGTATTCATGAGTATGATTGTTTGTAGAGGTTGTAAAATACATTGTCTTTATATCGTTATTTTGGATGACATGGGGTAGGGGAGTCTAGATGATGATTATGTCATCGGTAGTCATTTACTTTTTTGCACCAATGGCAACCCTCACATTGTCTTTGTTAAATAAAAACAATATATTAATTGAAAAATGTTTACGTATGGGGGAGGGGATAAGAGCTTTGCTCTCTGGTCCACTCTATTCTCCCAAATTTGAATTTAAAAATGAATCTGTATTATTGTAAACATGTACAACATTTATTTGAAAAGAATACGAGCTGAGTTTCTTGTCAGTTCTTCTCATCTCGAAGTCATTCCGAACTGACGGTAGATTTGACATATAATAAGAGTCTGTAATAGACCTACATGAATAAAGATATTTAGACTTTGAATTTGAATTCTTTTTGCTACACCTATGTTGAATGTTTATAGACTCTGGAATCGTCTGAAGAGAAATACAAAACGAATGACAACAGGGTGACGCCAAACGTGGACCATAAGGTAAGTACTGGTACTTATTAACTGACTAGCTGTTCCCGCGACTTCGTCCGCATGGAATTTAACTTTATTTTTCTAAAATAAAAGTAGCCTAAGTAACTTCTTATTACATCAGCTACCTGCCAAAAAAAAGTCCCGTCAAAATCGGTCCAGCCATTTCAGAGATTAACTGGAACAAACAGACGGACAAAATTTGTAAAAAATGTTATTTTGGTGTATGTACCGTATTTATATTCATATGCGAGGAATCGAACTCGGGACCATCTGAAGTAAAGCGGTTAACCGCTATACCACAGTGTCCGTAATAGCAACCATCTTTTAAACACTATTTTTGAATACTCGATTTTGAATGTTGTCTTAATATTTCAGAACCAACATCACCAAGTCGCATGGACGGAAATACCTCAGAACCAGTGGAATGAAGACGACCCAACTTGGGGGGCAATTACTGCACCAAAGGTTAATTTTCCTTTTCACCCCTTAGTCATAAAAATATTGTACAAATTGGTATGCATAAAGAACCACTATTTCACCTATTTCTGCCGTGGACCACTTTAATGATACCTCTATATCACCTATTTCTGCCGTGGACCAGTTTAGTGATACCTCTATTTCACCTATTTCTACCGCGGAGTAATTTAATGATACCTCTATATCACCTATTTCTACCGCGGAGTAATTTAATGATACCACTATATCACCTATTTCTACCGTGGAGTAATTTAATGATACCACTATATCACCTATTTCTGCCGTGGACCATTTCAATGATACCTCTACTTTACCTATTTTTACCGTGGAGTAATTTAATGATACCTCTACATCACCTATTTCTGCCGCGGAGTAATTTAATGATACCTCTATATCAGCTATTTCTGCCGCGGAGTAATTTAATGATACCTCTATATCACCTATTTCTGCCGCGAAGCAGATTAATAATACCTGTATATAACCTATTTCTGCCGCGGACCAATTTAATGATACCTCTATATCACCGCGGAGCAGATTAATGATATCTCTATATCACCTATTTCTGCCGCGGAGCAGTTTAATGATACCTCTATATTCATACATATTACTATTAATACATATACATTCATATTTCATACTAATTGGGAAACATCGTACTAGACAAATGATGTGTTAATTGTCATGATTTATTATCATGTATATAGGCAACGGTTGCCATTTTTTTCATCGAGGGACCACAACTGGTTTAGAAAAACATATAAAATACCACCCGCCAGAAAATAAAATACCATCCTTATCATCTGGATGAATGGCGGTCCTCCACAGTGCGGTTTTCTAGAAACTTTTTGCCACGCACAACCACATTGTGCAATCACCTTCCAGCAATGGTATTTCCGAACCGATACGATATTGAAATCGTCAAGTAAAGAGCTTATTCCTTTCCAATAGCCGACAATGTACTTGCAATTCTCCTGGTGTTGCGGGTGCTCATGGGCGGCGGTAATCACTTACCATCAGGTGAGTCGCATGCTCGTTTGTCCCCTGTGTTATAAAAAAAAACTTCTAATAATTCCAAATCAGCAGGTTGGGCTCTCACATGAAAACGTCTACCATCAATCCGAAGTTGAAGCTGAGAAGAAAGAAGAGAAATCACCCAATCTCCAAGCTCTGGTAGACGCTATCGGCACGAGGATGAGGGATATAGAGAATGTGGTGCAGAGGATGAGTGAGAAGGTACAAGAGGCTAAGCCGGGAGAGGGAGCAGAGGCCAGCGCTGAAAAGAAGTAAGAGAATAGAATAGAACAGAAAACATTAGTTAAGAATGTGGTGGATCTAGTCTAGCGTTGTCAGACGTCCCGTATTTTAGGTTTAGTATAAAATGTCCCGACGGAACTGACTCTGTCCCGTATTCAAATTGTACTCCGTTTTTTATTGTTAAATCGATCGATCTACAATTCAATCAATTCTACTACAATTCAATAGATTGAAATCAATTCTAATCTAGTCCCACGCTGAGCAGAGCATGTCTTATAAGTATTAGACAACTAATACAAATATTTAAATACAATTTTTATTCCAATACGAAATTGTGACGGCCTGAGTCGAGGTTCAAACCCCTAGCGGTACCCTCAGACTAAAGTCGTATCTGTCAGGCGGGAGTTGGCCTTCAGCCGCTCCATAAGTCCTTCCTTTGGTTTGGAGCCATCTGCACTCGCCCCCTATCGTCCGGTGAAGCTGTAAAAGCCAGCTAAGGCCGACAGCATTGGAGTAGTCCGAAAATAAATTAATTTTCCATCCGCAGTACAGTAGTATAAAAGAATGAATTTGTATTATTGTAAACATGTACAACATTTATTTAAAAAAAGCTGAGTTTATTGTCAGTTCTTCTCATCTCGAAATCATTCCGAACTGACGGTAGATTTGACATATCATAACAGTCTGTAATAGACCTACATGAATAAAGAGATTTTGACTTTGAATTTGAATTACTTTTGCTACCCCTATGTTGAATTATTTGTTTGTTTTGTTATGAATAAAGATATTTTGAATTTGAATTCGTTTTATGTTTAGGGTGTCATCAGATTCAGAGGGATCACTGTATGTGAAGCATCATAAGACAGACCATGGGAAGGAATTCAAGCCAAAAAGTCCGAGTCCTGACGCTGGACACTATAAGAGGTAAATTTGTTGTTCATAGACAAGAGCCAATGATTGTATCAGTAGCTAGCTTTTTGATCATCCGGACGCAAATAAAGACGCACTGTTGATGAGTGCTCGAGAAGTAGACCCGACGTTTCAGGAGGGTCTACTGGGTCCTACCAAGTACGTAATTGAAATTTTCCTTGTTCCCATTTCCCCCTTTTTTTGCCTTATGTACCTAACCAAAAATACAGCCCATCTATACATATAAATAAAATTTGAGTGTCTGTTTGTAATATTGAAATAACCGTTTTTTACTACATGCATATGAATATAAATGCGGTAACACCAAAAATTTTTACAATTTTATGTCGGTCTGTTTGTCTGTTCCGCCTAATCTCTGAAATGGCTGGACCGATTTTGATGGGACTTTTTTTGGCAGGTAGCTGATGTAATAAGGAGTAACTTAGGCTACTTTTATTTTAGAAAAATAAAGTTAATTTCCTCGCGGACGAAGTCGCGAGAATAGTTAGGTGGAAATAAAATCGAAGAATATATTGGCGCAACCATTTTGTGGTCCTTCGAGCCGGATATGTAAGCAATTGCCTCAAGAAAAGTTCTAATTTAAAAGTAGGTGTTGCTAGTTGCTGTTATGCTACTGAATATAATTAGTTAAAAATAGAAAACAATAAAATCATAACTGTCATTAATATGCATATACTGAATCTAATTAGTTAAAAATAGGAAACAATAAAATCATAAATGTCATTAATAGATGGCATATATTCTGGTCTGAAGTAGTTACAGCTAAATTCGTTAGCTTCAACAAAAAAAAAACAACGGCGGCGCACGGATACGACTTTAGTGGCTGGCCATTGGCTTCACCTGTGTGCAGGTGGCACTTATGGAGCGGCTTCGCACACAGGGACGCTTCACCGGACGATGGCCCTGCTCCAAACCAAAGGAAGGACTTACGGAGCGGCTGAAGGCCAACTCCCACCTGACGGATACGACTTTAGTGGCTGGCCATTACAGCTTCACCGGACGATAAGAGGCAAGTGCAGGTGGCACTTCAAACCAAAGGAAGGACTTATGGAGCGGCTGAAGGCCAACTCCCGCCTGACGGATACGACTTTAGTGGCTGGCCATTACAGCTTCACCGGACGATAAGAGGCAAGTGCAGGTGGCACTTCAAACCAAAGGAAGGACTTATGGAGCGGCTGAAGGCCAACTCCCGCCTGACGGATACGACTTTAGTGGCTGGCCATTACAGCTTCACCGGACGATAAGAGGCAAGTGCAGGTGGCACTTCAAACCAAAGGAAGGACTTATGGAGCGGCTGAAGGCCAACTCCCACCTGACGGATACAACTTTAGTCTTGGCTCAGGCGGTCGTAATTTCGATCCTCGTTTTGAATCGTTCGAAGGTTAGGTTTTCGTAAAATATATATATTTCATTAACATTACTATAAAGGACAGCGTTTAATAGTTTAGAAATTCGTATAATATGTTAATATGATTGTAACTAAATATATATAAGTAATGTAAATAGTATAGTTGTTGTTTTCCCCTAGTTTTGTATGAAGAGTCGTGACTCATTATGAGAGAAATTCAAAGAGGCAAATATTCTCGCCGTTGCTTCTCAATTTATATATTCAAATATCCTATAGGTTCATAAAAATTTTGACTTATTTACAAAAAACAGCAATATTCATAATATTAATACTAGATTTAAAGACAAACTTGCTGTCCCCAAATATCGTTTAGAAAAAGTCAATAGGTCTTTTATGGGAATAGGTATAAAAATTTACAATAAGATACCAAAGGATATATTGGAATTACCCTTAAATAAATTCAGAACATCTGTTAAATGATATTTACTGAGCAAAGCCTACTCACTAAACGATTACTTGAATGACGAGCGTGCATGGCAATATTTGTTCATGTACGGGATTTTCATTTAATGTTAGACATAGACACCTATATAAATACCTATGCATTATAAATAAACTGGGTTTTAAAAAAAAAAGTAATTCAATTGAGTTTCTTGCCAGTTCTTCTCAATTGGATCTATATACTGAACTGGACGGTAGGAAAAAAAAATTATAATGTAAAAACTTGACGTTCATAAGCGGCTAAAATGTCCTACATGAATAAATGATTTTTGAATTTGAATTTGAATTTAAGTTGTAAATGTGGAAACATGTGTAAGTTAGAGATATTTTGCCTTATATTTAAGTAAAATACTGATGTGTCATTTATACATATACTTGATAGATAGGAAATAATGTAAGGTTCATATATAAATAACAATTAATTAAATACAAACGTATCTCAGAGGTAATAACATCGAAAAACATTGTTATTCATAGTGAAAATAACTTTTAAAAATGACTTCAATTACTTTTATTTGAAGGTTCTCAGTTCGCAGCCGTAGCAAGTACATCCACAGCACTGCAGACGCCACCACAGAGCAGCCACTCTTCGTTGAAGACACCAACGTGAATGGTTACTTCAGTGATGCCAGTAACAGCGTATTGAGAAGATCCGATACTCCAAAGGTAATCCGAACTAATATTATATGTAAATGCACAAGCAAGTCTGTCTGGACTGTCTGGATTATTTAAAAGAGCAACACACAAGTTTCTTGCTCGTTCTTCTTGTGATGAGACAGTTTTCCGAATGAGCGGTAGATAAAAAACAAATTGTTAAGACTATTCAAAAGTGCTTAAATTAAGTTTATTTGAATAAATTATTTTCTATTCTATTATATTCCACTGTCGTGCTTTTACGCCAAAATAATAAATGCGAAAGTAACTTGTATCTGTCACGCTTTCACGCAATAACTACTGAACCGATTTAAATGAAATGTGGTACACAGATAGTGTAGACTCTGTGAAAGTGAAGGCTACTTTTTAATGTGATAAAAGGGTTGTAAGGGGTTGAAACACTACTAAGGCACTAAAAAGGCTGGGAAACACCGTTCCAAAATGCGATAAAAGGGTTGTAAGGGGTTGAAATACTACTAAGGCACTAAAAAGGCTGGGAAACACCGTTCCAAAATGCGATAAAAGGGTTGTAAGGGGTTGAAATACTACTAAGGCACTAAAAAGGCTGGGAAAAACCGTTCCCAAATGCAATAAAAGGGTTGTAAGGGGTTGAAATACTACTAAGGCACTAAAAAGGCTGGGAAAAACCGTTCCCAAATGCAATAAAAGGGTTGTAAGGGATTGAAACATTACTAAGGCACTAAAAAGGCTGGGAAACACCGTTCCCAAATGCAATAAAAGGGTTGTAAGGGGTTGAAACACTACCAAGGCACTAAAAAGGCTGGGAAACACCGTTCCCAAATGCAATAAAAGGGTTGTAAGGGGTTGAAACACTACCAAGGCACTAAAAAGGCTGGGAAACACCGTTCCCAAATGCAATAAAAGGGTTGTAAGGGGTTGAAACACTACTAAGGCACTAAAAAGGCTGGGAAACACCGTTCCCAGCTTTTTTGAAGCCATGCTCCATATTAGCATTTCTAAAATTCTTTGTAACCACCCCTACCTCAGGAAATTCACTAGGAAATTTTTGCTTCACTAGTTCATTGTATATTAATTAGTTTTAAAGATTTAAGCATACATAGAGAGGGATAGACAGCGACAGCGACTTTGTTTTATACTATGTAATGTAATAGTATAATATCCTTTTTTAAGGAGAAACAAACTTATTATCATTTCATGCTCCCCTCCGATCGATCCCCCGTCCAATTCAAACGGGAATAAATAAAATAATACTTACAGTTGATAATCACTTTTCTTATATTTTCAACACTATTTTATAAAATTTTCCACACGTCCGTTCGTAACGCTCGCTGCAACCTTAATGATCTCATCGCCATTGTAGAATCGCAAACCGGGAGGTAGCTCCAGTTTTTAAATAGTCAATACACTTACTTTTACTTTAACAATGCAATTAAAATGGTTATTAAATATGATGCCATCTGCACTCGCAATTCGCTATAGTCTGTAGAGAAGCGTGGAATAACGTAGAATATGATAATAATATGAAAATTTATTCAGTATTCTATTCCATAGTCGTTCAGTATTCCAATTCATTCGTCATTAGTACGGGTCAGTAAGTCTGTTGTAACAATCAAAAAAAATCCATGCATTTACCATGCGTGTGGTCCATCGTGAGTCAGAGGGTTTAAATATACATATTTAATTTAACAGGAACTAGCACCGACCTACATGGCACCGGTCGAGACCAGGCGGAAGAGTCACGCCAGCGTCTCCGACTCCTCAACCGAGGTGAAGACACACAAGAAGCATTCCCATAAGAAGAAGCGAGGGAAAGGCAAAAACCATAAGAAACACCATAAAGACGAGAAGAGAAAACGCTTGAATAGGTTGAATACTGTGGAGTTGGACACGAATGTTGTGTCTTTGGAAGACAGCAGCGATGTAACTGCCAAATGAATTGTTCCTTAGTCTATTCAATTAATTATAATTAGGTATGATGATAACAATAAACTTCTACAAGTATTGTACCCAAAACACTTGAAAATAGTTTGCAAACATTAAATCATCATCTTCATCTTCCTTATCCCCTTTATTTGTGGTCATCTTAATATGTTTTTCGTTTCCATTCATCTCTGTTCGCAGTCATCTCGTTATTTACTTCCTTTCTTACCATATCATCTTTCACACAGTCCATCCATCTCTTTTTCGGCCTTCCTCTGCCCTTATAACCATCCACATTCATATGTAACACCTTTCTTAAAATATTATCCTCGTTCCTACGCATTACATGTCCATACCATGATAGATTACTCTTCAACCTCTCCGACACCGGCGCCACTTTCATACTTCCTCTAATGTATTCATTCTTTATCTTATTCATTCTTGTCACACCACACATCCACCTCAACATTCTCATTTCAGTTGCATGCAGTCGTCTTTCATCCGTCGTCTTTACGGGCCAGCACTCTGATCCATACAAGACAGCACGATCCGGCCGATCATAGTCTTGTAAATTTTGCAAACATTCAAGTTAATGTTTAAAACAGTATGTCCATAACATATGTGACGTGGTCGAGTGGAATGAGTAGTCATGCTCACTAAAATGTCCAGACATGTGGCGGCGTGGTGGGCCGGGTCATTGGGCTCCCTAAAATATGGTCGAGCGCAGTGATGGCTGGCTCATCCGTCATACTCGTGAACGAGTGCTGCTTCTAGGGACTGGTGTGCTCTTATCACTACGACTGATTTAATCTTATTGCATATTTATATTTGACCCAAAAAATTAGTGCTTGTTGGTAGTTTGTATTCACACGTTACGACTTGTAAATGTAAACTTACAAGGATTATTTAACAGAGCAACACACAAGTTTCTTGCTCGTTCTTCTTGTGATGAGACAGCTTTCCGAACGAGTGGTAGATAAAAAACAAATTGTTGTGACTGTTCAAAAGTGCTTAAATTAAGTTTATTTGAATAAATGATTTTCTATTCTATTCTATTCTATTCCATCCGACACAATAAAAAATGTAATCAGTATAAAAATACAATGTTTCCATTTTGTATCTTTAAATCTCTGTTTCCAACAATTATATGCAATTCAAATATATCTTATATATAAAATTCTCGTGCCACAGTTTTCGTTCCCATACTCCTCCGAAACGGCTTGACCGATTCTCATGAAATTTTGTGAGCGTATTGAGTAGGTCTGAGAATCGGCCAACATCTATTTTTCATCCCCCTAAATGTTAGGGGTAGTCCACCCCTAAATTTTTTTTTTATTTTAGGACAAAACGTTTGCCGGGACAGCTATTTATAATATATAGCTTTCTTCGATCATGGAAATGAAAAAAAACGAATAAATAAATATGTTACTTATATTATATTCAATCTATATTATATTACACAAAAGTCTTTCAATCAACATTTTTACGCAATTTTATCCGTATATATTTTTCTTATATTTATCACACATACTTATAATTCATCCATTTAACTTATTCTTCATTTTATAAATTTAAATTCATCAAGAATCCCATTTATTTTTTTCAAGTGGCTCCACTGAAAATCAGCGCTGTAGTGACACGCTGCGGCACCAGATGAGTGGAGGCCCTTTCAGCATAGCGAAGTATTAGCAGTGGCACTCCGTGAGGAAGTAGCCATTATTATTGCTAAAAGTTGCATATAGATGGCGTGATTGGTATCGATGGAATTCTTCATAGTTTTGCAAACTTTTTAAAAAACAAAACTGTGTTTTCAAAAATGTTTAATCAATTATAAATAGTTATATATACATGTTAAAATGAATTAATGCAGAAAAGTAATTTTCATATATGTATTTACTCATTTTGTTATTTTCCAGTACTTAATTACACTTTAATCAGTGCTAATATCAATGTTTTCAAAATGCTTTCATAGATGGCATTGTCGTCATTTGTATCGGCCTAATTAAATGTCTTTTTTATATTTTCCAATAATAAGCTATGTAATATTATGTTATCTGTGGTATTAGTTTTTAAATTTTCTTTTTTACTCTGTACTATGATGCTGAATAAATTATTATTATTTTTATTTCTTTATATATATATTATATATCTCCCTTTGATAGGGTAATAGACTTATCATTGCGGGTAAAAATCACCAAACAATAACAGTATAAATGATGAATGATGAGGATGGATAATTTTTAAGTGGAAGACAAAAATTTGCGGACTATTCTACAAGTGTTTAGTATTACAGCTTTTTGGAGAAGTATGTAAGTAAGTGGGTGAAGTTGTAATATCTTGAAGCTAGTGTGTAGGGATGCTGGGATGACACCTGTGGACGAGATAATAATTGGGAGAGTTTTCAGTTTCTACCTGCCATTGTATTATTATTATTAAAATGGACAGTGGACTATATATTTGATTTTTAGGATGAAAGGAGGCAAGGTACCTGGACCACTCGATGTCTTACCGAAGGCCGGACGTCCTCTCGTTCCTGTACGATGCTGCACCAGCACACTACGGCACTTCACGAAACAAATATTTCCTTTAAACAAATCTACTAAATTAGTCTATATTCAAATTCAAATTCAAAATATCTTTATTCATGTAGGTCTATTACAGACTCTTATGATATGTCAAATCTACCGTCAGTTCGGAATGATATCGAGATGAGAAGAACTGACAAGAAACTCGTAATTTTTTTTTAATGTTGTACATATTTACAATAATACTATTTCATTTAAATTCAAATTTGGGAGAATAGAGTGACCACCATCATATGCTATATAAAAAAAATCAAAAAAATGAAAAAATCTAATCAGTGTTCCCAACCTGAATTTCTTCGTCGAATACTTTTGTAAGATCCAACTAATTATGATGACGATTTAGGCTTTGCAGTCGGCTACCGGAAGAGAAATTCATTTCAAATAATAGTGGAACATGTTTATAATAAATATAGTTTTTAAAATTCAAATTTGGGAGAATAGAGTGACCACCAGCATATGCTATCGCAAAGAACAAAAAATTTAATCAGTGTTCACAACCTGAACAGACCAGTCCCCACAAGCAGCACCCGTTAACGAGTATGACGGATGAGCCAGCCATCATTGCACTCAACCATATTTGAGGGAGGCTCGGGCCCACCACCCGTGGACAAGTTTGAACTTTAATAGCGAGAGTGTTTCAGGTTACTCCACTACGTCAATTATATTATTATTACTAAAATGGGCAGTTCACCCATTATATATTTAGTTTACAATATGTCATTACAAAATTTATGAATGTCTTCTCTTCTTTCCTTTAAACAAATCTACTAAATTAGTCTAGGTATATATTGTCCAAATTACTAATTAATATGAATATTCTCGTTCTTTCATGCTGCACAAATCTTCACGAAACAAATATTTGCTTTCAACAAATCTACTAAATTCGTCTATATATTATCCAAATTACTAATTATTATGATGAAAAACTATATCGACAAAGTTCAACGTACAACCAAGCGACTACGTGTACGACTGCCCGAGTCTCCGATCGGACTCGAGAGAAACACCTGTCTTCAGGGGCGGATCTACCTAATGGCGTTTTGGGCTGCAGCCCAGAGATCCGAGGATACAAAGGGCCCCCAGTCCCCACTGAAACGATATTTAGAATATAAAAAATATTTAGAATATTAAAAAACCTATCATAAGGTTGGCAACCCTGAGATCAATCAACACATGCAAGTGCGCGTCTATTGAAAGGAACGGGGAATTTCTGGTCGCTTGTTTTTGGTCGGTGTATTTTTTTATTTGAGTAATATAATTAGGTAGACCCCTAAGTAGATTTAGCCCTGAGTCCCATAAATGCTCGATCTGCACCTGTGTGTCTTTATCAGATTCCTTGCCAAGGAAAGAGATAGATGTGGAGGAAAGGAACATAGGTAACATATACAGGTGCAAACACCCCATCTGTACAAAAGTATCAGTTCAGTAATAAATCAGTATTACATCAGTATTAGTAGTTTACAATAACATTATGTTCATGTATATAAGCGACGGTTTTTTTTTATGGATGATAATGGAATGTTGCACCCGCTTGCACTAACGGTTTACGCGGGGCACCAATGGAGATGATAAGATGAGCTTGAGGTCAGGTCAGTTAGCACATCTTGACAAATTCACAAGGAATTTATCACGATGGTTTCCAGGGGGAACCGCGTGGAAGTCAACCTGACGGTCAACCTGAATGGTCACATTGCTATCAATATACCATATATTGCTAGCAATGTGACCATTAGTCCACATTATTAACAATCTCCTTTCTCTCCTATAGGCGACGGTTACCACTTACCATCCGCTATGAAAAAATAAAACAAAGTACCGTCTAAACATACAATATATTTATTTACAATAAACTAAAAACTATTTCAAATCAACATTACAATTTACAACAAATTTTGCATCTACAGCTAAGGGCGCGTCCACATGTTAACATAGTATCTACTGACCTGTCATTTGTGCCCAACATCCCGCACAAAGGAAGATCCAAGAAATACGACAGTATGCGCAAGTCATTGCGACATTCTGGAGAAAATACATTTAGTTGCCATTGAAACGAAAGATTGTATCTATAAGGTCTTTAGCATTTTGATAAATTAATATACATTTTTTTCGGACTACTCTAATGCTGTTGGCCGCAGCTGGCCATTACAGCTTCACCGAACGATAGGGGACGAGTGCAGATGGCACTACAAACTTATGGAATGGCTGAAGGCCAACTCCTGCCTGACGGATATGACTTTAGTCTGAGGGCACCGCTAGGGGTTCGAAGCTCAACTCAGGCCGTAATGTCGATCTCCGTTTGAATTGGCGCTCGATCGGAGAAGAAATTAAATTGTAAAGATTGATGTGATGATAATGATAAAGTGATGATTATAATAATGGATCCAAAATATCTAAAGACCAAATGTTAGGTAGATGAATAAATATTTTTTATTTATTTTTAAACCCAGACGTAAAAATAATTTCTTTTACTACGTTAATTATCGCATGCTTCGTTACTTATTATTATGTAATTATATATAAAAAAAATATCTATTCAAAAGAGCAACACACAAGTTCCTTGCTCATTCTGCTTGTGATGAGTCTGCGTTCCGAATGAGTGGTAGAATCAAAATATGACTATTCAAAAGTGCTTGTATTGAGTTTATTTGAATAAAGATTATTTTATATTTCTATTTATCAAATTGTCCGAATAGCGGACTGTACCAGAATAAAGATATTTTGGTTTGATTTGGTGACAAACTATAGAATAAATTTTTAGACGACTGTAAGCAAGTTTTTTTTTATCTTTGTCTTCCGGGTGTAAGGGCGTTAGCGAGCTTCAACGCATAATCGCAATTATTACAATACCATTAGAACTCAAATTTTTAATGTGACAGATAGCGCCCCGGTTTATCGACATTCATGGGGGTGATTTAAGATACTTTATTTTTGTTGATACATTTTGCTCTAAACACAGAACTAGGATTGGAGTCATATCCTAGCTTACGCGTTATATATTATACTGTTTCAGCAAAGGATTACCTACTTCTTTTATTTAAAAAAAAAATGTATTCTCGGGGATTGTTGTATTGGAGTTGATGCCGGGGCAAAAGGGCGAAGCCCGAGACCCTACTGTAACCCAGTAAGTCAGAAGGCTGTATGTGATGTTGTGAGATATGTCACCTTGTCTGTATTATTTATCTATATTATGTAGAATGTGAACGTACTCTGTGCGGTTTGTAATGAAACAAAAGTGATGTTTACAACTATATGAAGTGAAGTATTTATCACTATTTGAGATATAACAAAGTAATTATAATGAAATCACCATATCGATCGAAAGAGCATGCAATCCATATTGAGATCAGTCAACATTTCAGTCTCACATTCAATAAATATCACGATATGTTGTGGATAACAATATTTATTGAACATTGTGAAAATATACCTACAAGTTTACACAGACTATAGGCATACAATGACAGTCTAAAACAAAATGGCGGATATTAACTGTCATAAATTAAATTTGCTCCTTTCGGCTTTCCCTGAGACGGGAAAAAAGAAATTTATATTTTGCGCTCTTTTTTGGAATATTTAAAATTTTCCTTAATTTAATTGCTGTTTTTTCTTGCAATAAAACTTTATATTGTAATTTTAATATATTAATCTACTATTTAATATCGATATGATCACATTTTTTTTATTTTTTCTTGATGCTACCGATAGTTATGACGTCATATCGTATCGGTGTACTATAAGCGGGCTGCCAGTGATGTTTTTTTATCCTCCAAACGATTCCAGTGTTTTTATCGTAAATTCTCTATAACCAACTTTTCTGTTCTGTACATATTTCCTACAATTACCTGAAAAAAGTAATAAACCTTTTATTTATTTCTAATTCCATATAGATTATGTTGTATGTTATGTTAGGAAACAGCTTATAAACTTTCTGTAATGGCAAATAATCTTATTTTCGTTAAAGTCAATGTTGCCATTCAAGTACAGGGTTGCCAACCCCAAATTTAAAAAAATTCGTTGGCAAAACGAGGACAATTCAGTTTAAAAACAGGACACAGTAATAGAGTTGCAATAGTTAAATTAGTATGTAGTGAAAATAGATGGTATAAAATTTAAGTAGACAAAATAATATTTTTTTAATAAAAGCATTTGCACTATGCTTGATGACATAACAAATTTGAAAAAAAATATTTTGGATGCTGTTAAGAATTATTCTGTCACTAATTTTTGGCCCAATTTACACTCAACCCGAGTGAAGGGCAGGGAAGAGAGCAGCGCGAGAGTGTAAACACGAGTGGAAACACTTCCCACGCCATTGGCGCTGCCACTCGCACTGCCCGGCGCTCCCTCGTTTTTCGTGCTCGAGTCAAAGGACTGGCAGCGCGAGTGGCAGCGTGTTTTTACATTCAGGCCGGCAATATTTCCGGCAGCGAGAGTGGCAGGGAGAGCGGCTGAATGTAAACATAGCATTACATTTAACAATTCGTCGATTAAATAGAAAATTGTCTATTTTCAAAATTAGAATCTAGAATTGCCTCCTTTTATAATAATTATATTATAATCTACTTAATAACACTTATAAAATACTAATACTTATAAATCAATTAAGTTAACCACGCCGTCTTAATCTTTATCTAAATACTTTTAAAATGATATACATTACTTCTGTGTAAATTTAAAACTTTAAAGGGAAAAATAATTTAAATAAATTTAAAACACTTAAAATGCTTGTCTTGTACAAAATGTACATTTTGAATACTGCCATTTTTCTATTTAACTGATGATATGATATAAATATCTTTGTAACAATATATAATATGTGTTTACCTGTCGTTTAATTACATCTAAACTTTCTTTAGCATAAACAAATTCTTTATTCACTAGTTTTGGATCCGATATATTCTTGGCATCTTTAAATGCATCTCTCACACGTCTCAGTGCATATGATCTGTAAAAATAATAATTATATATGTATTATATATTTCTTTCGTTTTTGTTATTAATTATATTTTACTGTGTGTAATCTGTGCCTATATATTTTTTTTTCCATATTAGATATCTTGCAATCAGTCACGTGGACTATAAGCAGATGTGGTGTTCCGTATATTGTCAGACCAATCCAAATATCTTAAAGTCATTACTGTCGGACTATCTTGGTCAAATATAACGCCTTTTTTTAATCGACGCCAGTTTTTATTGTAGTTTAATTTATATTTTTCTGTGTATTTGTTGTAATCTGTGCCTATATTAACTAACTTTAAGAAAATTGTATTACTAACAAAATTGGTTAAAAAGCCTGATATTAATAAATATTATTATATTATTACTAGCTGTGCCCGCAACTTGGTCCGTGTGGAATTAAACTTTATTATTCTAAAATAAAAGTAACCTAAATTACTCCTTATTACTTCAGCTACCTGTCAAAAAAAGTCCTGTCAAAATTGGTCCAGCCATTTCAGAGTTTAGCCGGAACAATCAGACAGACAAAAATTATAAAAAAAATATATTTTGCTGTATGTACCGTATTTATATTCATATGCATGTAGTAAAAAACTATTATTTCAATATTACAAATAAACTGCAGCCCAAAAAGCCCTTATAGGTAGATCACCCCTGCCTAAGGCCCCAATGAGTTTTGGTTTACATGCAATTCATGTATGCCACACACAATAAAGTAATTTGATTATTTCACTGCATAAACACACAACTTGTAGGTACAAGTGCTTTAAATAACCGAGGCCACACAGACGAAACAACGGGAATCCCCGATAAAAATACATTGTAAATCTACCACGACGCGTCATCATCGTCAGAGTGGAATATTTTTATACTCCATAGCAATGCGTTTCTTTAAACTGCCGTATATATTAAGTACTTATATGATTTTATGAGAGCAGTCGAAATATTTGTAGGTTATTTTCTTATAGATTACAATTGAATAAATTAATGTTGTGTAATTTCTGCTTGTGTATACCAAAAGGAGTTTCTAATAATGTAATTACCACAGTATGTTGTGCAACATTATTTTATAATGGATCATTTTGAAATCACTATTTGAATTATTCATTACTTTTAGGTTATATAATTTTTAGCAAACTAAAAACTGTACCTGAAGTTGTAGTTCGGAAACTTCTGCGATTCCCGCATCAGTGTTTTGTATAGAGATAAAATTTGTAACTTTGTCACACCAGAACTCATTTTTATTTTAAATACAGACAATTTTCACTGAAGATGAACACAACAAATTCTACTTGTAAATACAAGTTGTTTCATTCTACGTACATTTAAGCTCAGTCATATGTCAAGGGAAAGCGTCAATCCTGCTATGAAAAATATTGCAATATAATTTCATTAAAAATGAAATATATTTTTTTATACTAATTAACAGATATAGAACCTAAAATGATTACCCGAAATAATATAATACAATTTTAATAATGTAAAGTTCACAATTCTCAGTTAGGACGGCTCGTAAATTAAAGCGTATATAGGAACGTATAAAGTATGTTAACATCAGCAAAAAGTTTTCCCAAATGTAAAGAATTTATAAATGTGTTTAAAGCATTTGTAAAATGTACTTCAGCATGAGTACTTAAAAACTGCCACTAGATTAATGTGAACTATTAGCAGCGGCGGGCTCACCCATTCTAAGTCTTCGAGCCTTACGAGACTCTACCTTTGTCCTATATGAAAAGTATGGGATCTTTTTACGTTTGTACTGTTGTACTTCTACTCTGTAGTCTATAATGCTGCCTTGGTGACCACACTAAGCAGAGTCAGCGTCTGGCTCGCTTGGAAGTTGGATAAGACTAGATATTAAGCCAGTCTGTATTCACTCTCGGACATAAACGATTGCCTCGATTGATCGAGGCTAACCTCGAGCGATGTTTAAATAAGACACCTATATTTTTTAAAACCCATCAAGGGAAGTCCATATAACAATACGATACATTTATTTAAAATCGTTTTTTTTATTTGTATAATTTGGTGTTGGTAATTACGTTAATTTGCGATTTTGGTTTGCCTTTTGTTAATGCCTTTTGTTTTGTTAATCGGAAAGTTTTTGCAACACTATGATTTAATATTATTATTACTAAGCTATTGTTATTACTTAATAATTGTATGCATTGAAAACTTAGGAGTATTCTGTAATTTTTGCATAAAAATAATAATAATAAATGGAAATGCATTTTTTATGAAACCATCTAGTCTATAAGAATATTTTATGTTCGTTTTCTGGGAACATAAAAGTTGTATTAGTGGCAACACCAAAATGGCTGCAACCAACCATCTCGAATTCTAGATCTCATATCATTTTTTCGTCAATTTAATTCAATATTCTTAATTTTAGTATACATTCCAATTGAAGTTGTGACCTTAGATATTTTACAATCATCGATCCATAATATTTACATCAACAGTGCATATACAGTGAGTATTATTGAAAGAATTAAATTAATAATAATTGTTTTATTATTTTTGTGTTTAAAAATTCGTTTTTCTTTCTATATTTCTTATAAATCTAACGATAATATAGTGCGAAGTTCATAAAATATTAATATTGATTTTTCAATGTGGAATAGTGTAATAGTTTTGTGTTAAATGCTAAAAAGGCGCGAGACCCCGTTTAGCAACTGACAAGTTCATTGTGTAAGAAGAATAAACCGGAATTCTGAGGTAACAAAAATAATGATATGCTAATCACGCATCATTTGTAAACAAACTTGTGACCGACTAATTTCTTAATGAAACAGTGCATCACGTGATGTTCTGTAACGTTTAATTAAAGTGTAATACGTATATAATAATAATAATAATAATCCATCTCCACTCCTGAGATGGGAGATGAGAATTTTTGTAAGATAATAATAATAACAATAAAAAAAAAACCACAAAAGTTTAGAGAAACAAAAAAAAAAAAAAAAAAAAACTGCACTTGTGTGGAGAAAACCAGCAAAAGCAGAGAAAAAAATAAATAAAGAATATTCATAATGATAGTCAAATTAGATACATTACAATTACATTTGATTTTCGAAATTCGAGTATACAAAATGTATGAATAAAAAAAATAATAATCCTCTTTATTTGTCTCAAACAAAAACTAATACAATTGCTGCCTATACAATTTTTTTTTCTTTTCCTATCTGCAATCAGTCCCAGAACTATGAGCAGATTTTTTGGAATGGAAAAAATGGAATAATCCACTTCATTTGTCTCAAACAAAAATAATACACATTAATAGAATAGAATAGAATTTTTTTAAAAAATCCTTATTCAAATAAACTTCCCATTTAAACTTTTGAATAGTCATAATTTTTTGGTTTGTTGGAATCACAAGAAGGAGTGTCCACAGAAACTTGTGTGTTGCTCTTTTAAATAATCCTTGTAAGTTTACATTTACAAGTTGAAACATATAATAATAATATCTCAGGACAATTCACACAGCGGCATCTAGTCCCAAGCTAAGCAGAGCTCGTGTTATGGGTACTAGACAACTGATATAAATACATGGATAAATTTTTTTTGTAAATAAAACCATATTATACATAGAAAACACCCAGACCGATACAAACAATCATACTCATGAATACAAATGTTTGTACCGTGCGAGGAATCGAACCCGTGACCATCGGATAGTAAAGCGGTGTGCTAACCAGCGGTGTACTAGAAATAGATACATAGATAAAATTTTTATTGATGTTAGAAATAGAAATAGAAATAGAAATAATCTTTATTCAAATAAACTCAAAATATGACTATTCAAAAGTGCTTGTAGTTATATTGAGCAGCCAGTTGATTTGTGTGGATTCATCATAGAAGAATTTATATGTGTGTTCTTTTTTGAAAAATGAAATAGATACATAGTTAAATGATTTTTATTGTAAGTTTTATTTATTCTAACAGCAACAACACAACAACACACTTGTAAGTACAGAATATAGATAATAGAAATAGAAATAATCTTTATTCAAATAAAGCTGACATGTACAATACACTACAATTTTGAATAGTCATACCCTATTCTGTGTACATAAGTCCTTTCTTCTAGGTTGTCAGTAAGAGATTGCATTTAGCGATAAGACCGCCTTTTGTAACTATTTTACTATTTACTGTATTTTCTTATTATTTTATGTGTACACAATAAAGAGTTTTATTATTATTACAATACTAATTTTACCCTAAATATTACTTACTCTAAAATGATTAAATGTAATCTATACATCTATATGTATAAATAAAATAGGAGTGTCTGTTTTAACCATTTTTTTACTACATGCATATGAATATAAATACGCTACATACACCAAAATATTTTTTTTTACAATTTTTGTCTGTCTGTCAGTTTGTATGTTCCGGCTAATCTCTGAAATGGCTGGACGGAGTTGGACGGGACTTTTATTGGCAGGTAGCTGATGTAATAAGGAGTAACTTGGCTACTTTTATTTTAGAAAAATAAAGTTACTGGCTATTGGCTAGGCTACTTGAAATTTCAGTAAAAATCTTTTAGTTAAATTCCACGCGGCCGAAGTCGCAGGAAAAGCAAATATATAAATATTTATAATCTATATACTAATTTTGACCTGCAAATTATATACATACTCTAAAATTACTACAAGTAATATATAATATAAAGTGCGTAGCGGTTTCTATGTTGATTGTCGCATGCCTAATCCTTGTTGATAATTAAATTAAAATATTTATTTAAAAGAGCAACACACAAGTTTCTTGTTTATTTCTTCTTGTGATGAATCTGCATTCCGAATGAGTGGTAGAATAAAAAAACTTGACTATTCAAAAGTGCTTATATGAAAGCTTATTTGAATAAAGATTATTTCTATTTCTATAATATAAATTCAAAGTTTTTATTAATTAACCACATATATTTTACAAAAGTATTTATTATAAGTATAAAGATACAATGAATATGTGAATAACTAATTTATTTATATATAAATAGTCATTCTGCATATCAGTCTGTGAGTCAATGAGGAGTTTCAACACGAGAACCACTTCCAGTTCCATATATAGAACACTTTATTTGTAACGTACAGTAAGTAGTACACATCTTAATCTTTACTTACATATATATAAATATAATTAAAATTGGAGTGTCTGTTTGTAATATTGAAATAACAGTTTTTTACTACATGCATATGAATATAAATGCGATACATACACTAAAATAACATTTTTTACAATTTTTGTCTGTCTGTCTGTTTGTTCCGACTGGACCGATTTTGACGGGACTTTTATTGGCAGGTGTGATGTAATAAAACAGGCTACTTTTATTTTAGAAAAATATTAAATTGATGGGTCATCAATCAATAATAAAAATGTTTTTCGTCACATTGTCGCCCCTTCTGACTTACTCCCTAAAATATGGTCGAGCGCAGTGATGGCTGGCTCATCCGTCATACTCGTGAACGAGTGCTGCTTGTAGGGACTGGTCTGCTCTTATCACTACGACTGATTTAATCTTATTGCATGATTATATTTGACCCAAAAATTAGTGCTTGTTGGTAGTTTGTATTCACACGTTTCGACTTGTAAATGTAAACTTACAAGGATTATTTAAAAGAGCAACACACAAGTTTCTTGCTCGTTCTTCTTGTGATGAGACAGCTTTCCGAACGAGTGGTAGATAAAAAAAAATTGTTATGACTATTCAAAAGTGCTTAAATTAAGTTTATTTGAATAAATTATTTTCTATTCTATTCTATTCTTACGTCACATAAAGGACAAAGTGTGACGTAAGTCAGGATTGACAAACCACAATGAACACTGAGTGCAAATCATGTTTAATCACTTGCTATTTACATCCAAGGTTAGCATTTATATACATCTTTCTATTCTTACTGGTGTTAAGGAAAAAAAATATTATTGTATACCATTTTAAATATTGAACACCATAGAAAATAGACGAGGAAAAATGTTAGGGCACTTGATACGGCGCGATGATTTCATGAAAATTATTATTGAGGGGAAAATAGAAGGAAAGAGGGGGAGGGGAAGACCAAGGAATAGCTACATCAAACAAATTGAGGACAAAATTCGGAGTCGTGTCGTATCAAGAATTAAAGAGCATGATGCAAGATCGCGGAAAGTGGCAAGAGCTCCACCGACAAGAGCGTAGCTCTTAAATTATGAATGAATGAACCATTTTAAATACATACAATTGTTGCGAACTATTTTTTATACCTTGTTTATTGTCTACTAGCTGCACCCGCGACTTCGTCCGCTTGGAATTTAACTTTATTTATCTAAAATAAAAGTAGCTTGTGTTACTCCTTATGTCATCAGCTACCTGCCAATAAAAGTCCTGTCAAAATCGGTCTAGCCATTTCAAGGATTAGCCGGAACAAACAGACAGACAGACAGACAAAAATTGTAAAAAGTGATTTTTTCTGTATGTTCCGTATTTATATTCATATGCAGTTAAAAACGGTTATTTCAATATTACTAACAGACAGACATTTTATTTATATGTATAGATTTATAAATAATTGGACATTTTGATTTCAGTTCAATACATGGCACATCAAGATGGCGACAAACATAGTTCGGACGAAGAGTTGTACTCGTCTGAGCGAGATAGCGATGACAGTCCTATACTCTCGCACAGGTAAATGACCCCAAGTGTAACATAGTAGTCATATACTGGCAGATAAGCATACGATTCGCCTGATGAACAACTGCACTTATTAATGTTAACGTAATATATAAGTGAGTGATCAGCAATATTACTAGCCCCCTCCGATCGATCCCCCGTCCAATTCAAACGGGGATCGAAATTACGACGGTCTGAGCCGAGGTTCGAACCCCTAGTGGTGCCCTCAGACTAAAGTCGTATCCGTCAGGCAGGAGTTGGCCTTCATCCGCTCCATAAGTCCTTCCGCGGGTTTGGAGTGCCATCTGCACTCGCCCCTAACGTCCGGTGAAGCTGTAAAGGCCAGCTACGGACAACAGCATTAGAGTAGTCCGAAAAATAAAATAGAGCTCTGTTGATTGCCTGATGGTGACTCATTCAGAGGTGAAACACGAAGCTATAGGACAACGGGACATGGGGAAGCGTACATGTAAAGGCGACTAATGGATTTATAATTATAATAACGAGTGCTGCTTGTAAGGACTGGTCTGCTCTAATCACTATGACTGATTTCCTCTTTGATTATTTACTTCAATATCTTTTCTATTTGATTATTTAATTGAATTAGTGCTAATCGGTAGTTTATATTCACACACTTAAACTTAAATTGTAAAGTAAGAATAAAATTATTTAAAAGAGCAACACACAAGTTTCTTGCTCGTTCTTCTTGTGATGAGACAGCTTTCCGAATGAGCGGTAGATTAAAAAAATGTGATGACTATTCAAAAGTGATTCAATGTAAGTTTACTTGAATAAATGATTTTCTATAAACCTTTTCACATCTTTCAGATACGACAAGCGTCGGTACGCGTCTTACGTGACAGATGAGAGAACAGAAGAGAGGGAACGGCGCTCCACGGTGACGACGCTGGCCAAGTTCTTTCTCTTCTGCTTTGCGATGATATTATTCTGCGTGCTGCTGTACATACCTGTATATAATAGAGCTAACGATCAGATACCGAAAAGTAAGCATGTTTTATATGAAGAAACTAGAAACGGCTAACGTAGTTTTGGCATATAAATTTATATTTAATAGAATTTATTAAATAATAATAATACTCTCAGGGACAATTCACACATCTAGACCCAAGTTAAGCTAGCTAAAGCTTGTGTTATGAGTACTAGATAACTGATACAGATAATTTTTTTTTCAAAATTTTTTTTCCTAAATACATACATATTATACATAGACCTGACCTAAGACTCATCTTAGTGATGACACTGCTGCCTTGCCAGCGTAAACTGTTTGCGCAGGTGGAAGCACCATTTCATCACCAGCTTTTAAAAAATGACTTCATGTATGAAAGGCCTCTTCTCTATTATTATACTTATTTCCAGGCCTAGTTGCCGGCTGGTCGTTACACACAAATCGAGACACAAAAATATACGTTCAACCCAACAACGTCACAACAATCCACGAGCCCACCAACATATGCCCAAAAGCAACTAGAAGCAAAAAGAATCATCTGTTCCTACTCATTGTGGTCAGTTCGTCAACAGTCAACTTCGACAGGCGGGCTGCCATCCGTGATACTTGGGGTAGTCAGCAAAACTACGTGAAATCATTGAAAATATTGAACGCAGTGCGCGAGAAGTATAAAAAATATAATTACACGTATGACTTGTATGCAGAGAAGGAATTTAATATAACCACAAATGTTAGTCGAGAGAAACGCGACATATCCAGCTTTGGCAATCTTTTCCCGGAATTGACTAAAGCACTGAATAGCAATTTAAAAAATATAAAGACTGATAGCATACCTGAAGTTGAGAAACGTTTTGACGATGATGAACTGCCAGAATTCGATATGAACAAGGAATTTGGTGAAGCGACCAATGATGTAGCATATGATTACGATGGTGATACGAATATAATGAGGATACCACCTAATGGGTACGATGAGGGGCCAGATTTGGAGAAGATATTGAAATTGTTAAAGCCAAATTTCCCCAAAATTGAGGAGGATAACGTTGGCAACGCTGAAATAGACTTTAAACTTGTTTTCCTATTAGGGTTGCCAGGTCATGACAATGATAGTACAGTGCAAAGTAAAATCGATGAAGAGGTAACAAAATACGGTGATATTATTCAAGAAGGGTTTATAGATTCATACAATAATTTAACGTTGAAGTCTATTATGATGTTGAAATGGATTACCAACAAATGCGGCGAGAGTGGTAAGTCTTACTCACATACACACAAAATTAATGAAATAATTGGGTTTCTTAATAATTTTAATGTGCCCCTTTAGGATAGAAATTTGAAATAGTATTGTTTTGAGACGAAATTGACTCCTGACATATAGTTTATGCCAGATTACATTAATTAATTTGGTAATAAATATATAAATTTAGTAATTAATTATGGTAAATAAATTAATTTGGTAATTAATTAAATAAGTTGTAATTAATTAAATAATTTAGTGATAGATACGTTATTTTAGGAGTTCATTATTTATTTTAGTTATTTATTAATTATTTTAGTAATTAATTAATTACTTTAGTATATATTTAATTAATTTAGTAATTAATTAAATATTTCAGTCATTATTTTATTAATTTAGGAATTAATTAAATATTTTAATTATATATTTATTTATTTCAGTAATTCAGAAATAAATTTTGTTTGGTAGAAAATAATTATTTTCATAAATTTAGTGATTAATTAATTAGTTTAATAAAAATTTGCAGTTCATTACATCTTGAAGACAGATGACGACATGTATATCAATGTGCCGAGCCTGGTCCTCAACCTGAAGAACAGGTCCCGGGAGTACGACGAGAAGGTCGCCCGAGGGTACAAGGAGAAGGAGCACCTGCTGATTGGTGATCTGATCTGCGGCGCCAGACCTGTCCTCGACTCTAATAACAAATGGTATTTATATATCATATATACATATAAATAAAATTGGAGTGTCTGTTTGTAATATTGAAATAACCGTTTTTTACTACATGCATATGAATATAAATACGGTATATAGACCAAAATAACATTTACAATTTTTGTCTATCTGATCGTTTGTTCCGGCTAAAAGCTGAAATGGCTAGACCGATATTGATGGGACTTTTATTGGCAGGTAGCTGATGAAATAAGGAGTAACTTAAGCTACTTTTATTTTAGAAAAATAAATTTAATTTTCACGCGGACAATGTCGCGGTATACAATTAGTTATAAATAATAATAACCGCGGACTGCAGATAAAAATGGCGCATTTTCGTCTGCATTTTCGTTCAGATTCTTTAGGTCAGATAGTTATTACTGTTTCTTTTTCCGGACTACTCTAATGCTGTTGACCGCAGCTGGCCTTTACAGCTTCACCGGACGATAGGAGGCGAGTGCAGATGGCACTCCGAACCAAACCAAACTTATGGAGCGGCTGAAGGCTGACGCCCGCCTGACGGATACGACTTTAGTCTGAGGGCACCGCTAAGGGTTCGAATCGCGGCTCAGGACGTCGTTAATTTCGATCCCCGTTTGAATTGGACAGGGAGATCGATCGGAGGGGATTTATATAGTTCTATAACAGTGTGTATGTCCCATTGTTTAGGTACAGTCCGCGGTACATGTTCGGCGGACGCGTGTACCCTCGCTACCTATCGGGCACGGGATACGTGCTCTCGGCCGACGCAGCTCCCCCACTCTATCAAGCGGCGCTCCGAACCACCTACTTTCACCTCGAGGACATATATATCACAGGTGACATTTAATGTAAATTAATATTGTAATGGGTCATTGGACTCCTTACTACGGTCGAGCGCAGTGATGGCCGGATTATCCGTCATACTCGTGAACGGGTGCTGCTTGTGGGGACTGGTTCGGGTTACACTGATTAGACTTTGCAATAACGTATGTTGGTTGTGAAACTATTCTCCCAAAAATTGAATTTAACATGTACAATATTTATTTGAAAGAATACGAGCGAGTTTCTTGTCAGTTCTTCTCGTCTCGAAATCATTCCGACTGACGGTAGATTTGATGAGTCTGTAATAGGGAATGATGACTTGAATAAAAATAATTTAAATTTGAATTAAATATTATCCGGCTCGAAGGACCATACAGATGTATGAGTCTGCTGTGACCCAGACAATACTATGATGTTTTATAAATGTGTATTAAATATAAAAGCGTGTTATTGGCTGATAAAGTTTAATACCATTATTTTTTTTCTCGGCTTTCGCCGGTAACTTTGATATTATCCGGCTCGAAGGACCATAAAGATGTATGAGTCTGCTGTGACCCAGACAATACTATGATGTTTTATAAATGTGTATTAAATATAAAAGCGTGTTATTGGCTGATAAAGTTTATTACCATTTTTTTTTTCTCGGCTGTCGCCGGTAATTTTGGTATGTATTGGTATGTATGTACGGGCCTAAGTCAATATTACAACATAACAATGTTATATTCTGACGTGAATATCTTCTTATATATAAAATTCTCGTGTCACAATATTAGTTACCATAGTCCTCCGAAACGTCTCGACCGATTTTTATTAAATTTTATTTGCATATTTAGTAGGTCTGAGAATCGGCTATCTATTTTTCATACTCCTAAGTGATAAGGGTTGTCCATCGGTAATATTATTTTTTTATTTTTTGGCAAACTTAAAATAATCGTAAAAAAATACATATAACCCTAAATTTTCACCCTTCTATCACCAACCTCTATTTTTTTATAGCGTTATTAATTTATATAGCAAAACAACGTTATCCGGGACAGATAATACTATAAATATTGGCCTAATCTGTTTGTAGAAATTTTCTGACTATGCGGCATGTGTTTAGGATCTGTAGTTAGCAGTAGAAATAGAAATAATCTTTATTCAAATAAACTCATTACAAGCACTTTTGAATAGTCATATTTTGATTCTACCACTCATTCGGAATGCAGATTCATCACAAGAAGAATGAGCAAGAAACTTGTGTGTTGCTCTTTTAATAGATGTTTTATTTATATAAATAATTACAATATAACATGCAATAATCAACATAGAAATCGCTACGCACTCATTATTAGTGTAATCTGATAATATTGTCAGTGCTATGGATTTTAAGTTTTTCTATTAAAACATTATTATCGTTAACGAATTCTTGAATTTTATAGTAAGCTTTTTTGCAAAGGAAGTGTTTTATATGACATTTAAATCTTTTTTCAGGCATTTGTTGTAAAACCTTACTCAATTGCCATAAAACGAATTACTAACTTTAGTTAAACTACATTTAGGTAAAATCAGTTTGTTATTGTTGCTTTTATTACTGCAATCACTAACTCTTTTGAAACTGTCTATATTCTTCCTGGCATCCATGATATTTTTATAATTGTATTGAGAAGCAACGGTGAGGTTGCAAACAGTATATACTAGGAGGCAAGTTCAGGGTATTTATTGACTGATGCATCTGTTTCGGTATGACACCGGTTGCTGAGAGGTCGATTGGGATTATTGTTACTTTTTGTAAGTGTCATAATCAGATTACTTCAGTTTGCAATTCTTTACATTTTGTTATTTTTTCGGCTACCGTATTTTGCAGGAACAGCGATATCACTCAGGTATCCTACCTCTTTTATTTTCATACGTTATAATCGGCGTGTGATAGGCATGTGCGCGCTACGAGCGAAGCCTCGCGTGGTCCCGCGCGACGACCCCGGCTTCACGTACCAGGCTGCTCAGCCCGCTCAGCCTGCTCAGCTCGCGCAGTCTGCTCAGTCGGCGCACGGCCGAGCGGCCTGCCTGGGCTGCGCGGCCTGCGCGCCGCATCTCCGGTACACGGTGCACCGAGTGCCGCCGGGGGCGCTACGCATGCTGCAGCATCAGATGACCTCCCTCAGCATCGTCGACAGGTAATACAATAGAATAGAACAGAATACAACTCATTGCCTTGCCTTTATCCCATTATTTGTGGTCGGCGCAGTATGTTATTCTCTTCCACTGCTCTCTATCGGTCGTTATATCTGAGCATACTCTTCTTTTATTCATATCATCTTTCATACAATCCATCCATCTTTTCTTAGGGCTCCCTTTACATCCATCCACATTCATATTATACACTTTCCATAAGACATGGTCCTCGTTCCTCCGCATAATAGAACAGAATACAACTATTATTTATTTATTTATTTATATATTTATTCATTCATTTATTCTTTTAGTCATTTCTTTATTTATTTATTTGCTTTGAATATGTTTCATTGTTCTTACAAATTAATTTACAGTTACATATTCAACTACTTTTTGAGCATTCAAATTTAAATTCAAGTTAATATTAAACTTAACAAATGTTAACATATATTGTCATAATTATATAAATTGTTAAATGTCCAAAATTAAGTAATAACAATATGTATATGATTTTAAGAAAGGTGTTACAAATGAATGTGGATGGTTATAAGATCAGAGAAAGGCCGAAAAAGAGATGGATGGACTGTGTGAAAGATGATATGGTGAGAAAGGAAGTAAATAACGAGATGACTGCGAACAGAGATGAATGGAAGAGAAAAACATATTACGACGACCCCAAATAAATGGGATAAGGAAGAAGCAGATGATGATATATGTATATCATTTCCTGTCCAATTAGATCTTTGTTCCACGGTCATATGTTAATAATAAGAACCAACTAAGATTAAAACAAAAAATTTGACGTTCATAAGCAGCTAAAATGTCCTACAAACTGTCCTCAAGTTTTTATTAAGTCATAGTTGTTTCTTATTACTAACACCCACTCATAGTTGTTACCAACTATAAGTTAATAAAAACTGTACGTTCAATATTAGTTAAAATGTCTTACATCAGGGGTGAACATCCTTTAACATCACACGACTCTTTTTTTTCTATATATCATTATTGCGGCTGGCAACGGCAGTGAAATAGGGTAATATAAATAAAATTACTTACCAAAATTATAGATGTATTTAGTGGTAGCGTTTATGACACAATGTGGCAAAACAATATAATAAAAAATATATGTCAAAAATTGTATATAAAAAATATATGGTTTAAAAATAGAAATATCTATAAAAAGAGGTCTGTCGCCAACAATCATAATCATTAATTAAACGTTACGATGCCTCTTCTATCAATTCCCGTCCACCCATCAGATCGATCCGCGGCCCAATCCCCTGTGCCATTGTTTGAATTGGGTATCGAAGTGACATATTACTAAAAATACATGTGTATTAAAATTCGAGCATTTTATCAAAATATATAAAGTATAAAGTGAAAAACATTTAAAAAAACAACACGCAAATATCTTGCACTACAGGTTCAGCCGAGGTTCGAACCTTAGCGTTGTCATCAAGCAGGAGTTGACTGGCTATCGGATCCGTTAATTTAGTTAATTAGTATAATTTAGACCCTGTTATATAAATATAAATCCCCTCCGATCGATCCCCCGCTCTATTCAAATGGGGATCGAAATTACGACAGCTTAGCCCGAGGTTGGAACCCCTAGCGGTGCCGTCAGATTAAAGTCGTATCCGTCAGGCGGGAGTTGGCCTTCAGCCGCTCCATAAGTCCTTCCCTTGGTTTGGAGTGCCATCTGCACTCGTCCCCTATCTTCCGGTGAAGCTGTAAAGGCCTGTAGCCCACAGCATTAGAGTAGTCCGAAAAAAAATAGTAAGGATTTTATTATTAAAAATTAATTTCTTATCTTACAGATGCGAAAGAATCCGTCTCACGCAGGTAAGAAGAGATCGCTTACGACCCAAAGTGACGGCAAAAAAACACAGCAAAATCGGGCATATATCAAAATAACTGTTGTGTAAATAATATCATTATACTAGTATTGTAAATTGAACTTTGTGTCTTGTTACGAAGAGCGTTTTTTGGGCATTGGGATGTGGTTGTACGTTGCTGGTATAGACCGGTTTTTTATAATGACAATGTTTGCGTTGAAAATGTTATGTGTATAGACGGATGAGGTTTTTTGCCGTTCGGGAAAAAATATTCTGTAATAAGTACATTAAGGCAATTCGATTGATATTAAAGTAATTAAAATAACCTTATTCGGCGGTAGGGGCTATCTGTAAATTACCTCACAGGTTATATTCCCCCATCCCCCCTAAGTGTGACAAAGTGTGACATTGTATAATAACGGTTTGAAGGTTAGAAAGTTCCTACAAAAGAAACATGAAATATTCCTAAATTCCGTGAGTTTTGTATTCACAAATTCCGACTTAAAAATGTAAAGTTAAAACGATTATTTAAAAGAGCAACACACAAGTTTTTGATCGTTCTTCTTGTGATGAAACAGCTTTCCGAATGAGCGGTAGATTAATAAAATGATAACTATGACTATTCAAAAGTGCTTAAATTGTTGTTTATTTGAATAATGGATTTTCTATTCTATCCTATTTACCCGGATAGGACTTTGTGACAACACTATCCATTGTAGTATAAAATGTGACACGTTGTGACGGGTGGGGGTTAAAACTGAAATTGCTATGACATAATTTATAGATTGCCACACACATACCCCAAAAAACAAATTTCGATAACTGTTAAATAATTAATATTTAACAGTTATCGAAATTTGTTTTTGTTATATAAATCTTAATTTTAGATCATGTTTTTTGATAGTTAACCAAAAATATATGTTAGTCTATAGTTCGTCCTAAGCCACAGAATCCTCATTCGTTATGTAAAACATACGAGATTACATAATCTGCAGTATTAACTACACATAGTATTCTCATATATTCTCATTTTTTTCAGTACGGCAAAAAACTCATCCTGTATGTCACAATTAGTTGAATCGGATAAAAGTGATGTTACAGGGGTCATTCATAAATTACCCCAAGTGTGACATTGTATGACATGGCCACCCCTTGTCAGTCACGAACGTGGCCTAATTTATATCAGCGGTCATTTTCGTGATATATCAAAATTTACTTTAATAGGAATTTCGCAACGGTTTTTGTTAATTTATTAATTTAGGCATTTTAAATTTATAATTGTAAAATATTTGTTGTCACACAAGGGGTGGTCAAAATGTGACGAATTTGTGACAAGCAAGTGGGATAGTTGCGGTCAAAAATAATGGTATGTGTGTGTAAGTTATGGATAGCCCCTTGTTTGTGTAAGTTTTGTGATATGTGATTTTGTGAAGTGTTACTTTTGATCGGTTAAATTTTGTTTTATCTATTGTATTTTTTTTTTATTTAACCGTTTAGAAGTGATAATTGTGTTACTTGTATATAATAGAGGAATATGGGAATTGTGGTTTTATGAAAAGTAGCTATTTTTACGGTTAAAATTAATAATGACCATTATTACTAAAGATATAAGGTTTAGATTAAAATGAGTCATTATTTATTTTAATCATATAAAAGTGATGTTTTAGTTGTGAAAGATTTTGGGGTTAATGGGTTTTGTGATATGTTGCATATTAACCGGTTAGAATTAATAATGAAACTTGTACTATGGGGTCTGCAATTGACCTCCGTTTGTGCCGTTGTGGGTGCAGAGCCAAGACTAGAAAGAAAGAAAGAAAATCATTTATTGACAACCATTATTGATATAAATATATATTTACACATTTGACATAGGTACATTGACATAGGCATATATATATATATATATATATGCACACATACACATATATATACATACACATGCAGAACAATTATAAAAAACATCCGTAATATTTATATATAATGGTTGGCAACATGGCCGACACTCAGCATTTGCCGTGACAGCCAACTGTCACGGTGCTGGTATTCTGTGCCTGCCACTACTAGAGTAGCCAGCTAAGATACTCCCAGAAGCGCAGAAACTTACTGGTGTATTTACAGGATTCAGGTAGCTACCTCACTGTTCAGAATTTGTAGACATTGGGTGGCCTCTAAAAAAATTTAAAATTTTATACGTTTTAAGTTTAAGTCACTATAGGAGTCTAGTGTTTGGTATGAATTTTTTTGCCTGCCACTACAAGTAACTGGAACAACATCAACGGCAGTTTCTTCTAATGCAGCTATAATTATAATCATTATTAGCTTGTTCACGACAATTTTGATGTGTCGTTTTGATAAAACATGTCATTATTTATTTTAACCGGTTGAAAGTATTTGTCTTTGTGTAAAGGTTTTCGTGATGTTGTATAAGAAGTATTGATATTGAGAGGTTAAAGTTGATAATGGTTGTTCGTCACGACAATTTATGGTGCTGGTCAAAGGATGGTTAAATATATCATATATATATTATATTTATATAAATAAGGTGCTACCAAATTATCTGCATTCCCTTCTACAAGATATAGTATTAGATGTATTTATATGATGGAAATGCATCCATGAAGTACGCAAAACGTTAAGGGTGCCGAAATATGGGATTTTAGTAAAAAATCATTTTTGGAGGGAAAGATATCCCCTGGTATTGGGTATAAGAGTGATATCTTTAACCAAGGAGTTGAAAGAGTAATTCTAATTAGAATAGAATGGAGAATAGAAAATAATTTATTCAAAAAAACTTACATTGAAGCACTTTTGAATAGTCATCACATTTTTTTTAATCTACCGCTCATTCGGAAAGCTGTCTCATCACAAGAAGGAATTGTAAATGAAGTAGCGAAAAAATTATAATAAAAAAAAATTGACGTTCGTATGCGGCTAAAATGCTCTACATGCCTAAAATGTTCTACATGAATAAATGACTTTTGTATTTGAATTTGAACTACCTGCCTACCTGGGCAACCTAGAAAACCTTTCCTCACGAGACTACATGGGGTTTGTTAAAAGGGCTTCTTAAGGGTCGGCAACGTGCACGTGATACCCCTGGTGTTTCAGACGTCCATAGGCTACAGTAACCGTTTACTGTAATATTATATATCACAAAAGGTATTAAGGAATGCAAATACTTTGGTAGTAAATCATATATTTCATCAGGTTTGAGTGATACATAGATATTAGGAAAAGTAAATATAGAAAATATATAAATTATTTGAATTAGTAACAGTAACGGTTGTTTTCACGGTTATGATTTCAAGGATTGTTTTATAATCTGTGATCACTTTGTTTTTTTTATTCTCGTGGCATGTGTAATAATTCCTTAGGTATCTATAGTTCTTTATTAATCGCATTTTGTATCCTGACAAGTTTGAATCACAATAAGCACAAGTGAAGGGAGTAGGTCGAAAGTGTGACATTATGTGACAATAGTTGACGTCATACTTCTAATAATCATTTTTTAAAATATAAATGGATAGAAAAAAAAATCAGAACATGTTTATTTCTGATTTAATACTTTATAAATGTAGAATTTTAAGATGTGTGACATCACATTAGGGTGGGGTAGTTCGTCACAAAGGGGGATCGAGAATGATGAATTTCATGTGACTTGATTTACAGATAACCCTATTTCGCTTACTAAATATATACAATACATGTAGTAAAGACAATATCCGCGCAATGTGTATCCCGCAGTAAATAGAAAAAGATCCTAGACAAAGTCTAGACTTCAGTGAGATTTTATGAGGAAATGTTATTTAAAATCTGGACTTTATTTTAACTACTTATATTGAATTCCTAGATGAAGCAGTAAATAACAGAATATTATTTTAGATTCACATAAGGCCAGTAAGATTACTAATCAAATAATTATTTGAATAGGTTTAATTTTGTTTCTTTTAAAAATGGAAAGTTTATATAATTATAGGATATGTTTTTTTACAATCCTATTATGTACCAAAGTTCTAATAAATAAATTTGTTATATTACATTAGTTTAGTGAATGGGAATTGATTGGTTATTACTAACAGTTACAATACAAATCATGTTATTTGACTTATTTTCTATGGGGCTTTGGGTAGAAGAATAGAGCAAACAAATGCGGTATCGTGAATTGTAAAACCCCAAGTGTGACGTGCATACGTCACACTAGGGGTTTCTCAATTATGATCAACTGTGACAAGGACTATAAAATCATAAAAATTGTTTTATGTAAATTTTGGACGATTAATATAGTTTTTATTTATTTTAGTGATTACATCTTCAGTTTTCAGTTTATATTTCAAAAATAGTATCCGCCTCGGCACAATTTTATAGTATTTAAAGAATATAATGTCTCGCTAACATAAATAAATACTTATTAAAGAAGTTTTAAACGCGTATAGTACAACTCACTTTTTAGGATTATTCATATTCTATAAATGAGATATTTGTTTGTGTTTAACGATTTATTTACTTTTTATGCCTAGATTTTGTTTAAAAATTATATTTGCACGGCCAACAATTATTCTCTGCACCAGGTGGTGCAGAGAATAATTGTTTGTACTGTAATTTGTACTATAGGTATAGTAGAGGTAGGTTCAGTGGTAGAAAACACCGCGTTGTGTTAAGTCCGCCAAATGTACTGTTACGTTTTGTGCTGTGTGCATTAAAGATATGTAAATAAATAAATATTTACCATGATCTTGACAATATCGGGAGCTCTTTAATAATATTGTCATGATAAATACGCACATAACGTGTACGAAACGTTTTGTTTATCAGCTTTATGTTATAGTTATTCGGCAGCTTATTTCGTTTACAGTATTAAAAATAGTCGCTATAATAAGTTTTTTTTAACAAATGTTAATGACCGTGCGCCAAACATGCCAGCACTAATATATACCCTGGCTAGACTCCAGTGGAGGATGATAGAATGACTCTGAAGTCAGGTTCATTAGTCAATCCTGGCGAATTCACCAGGACACGCCAGCACTAGCAGTACACGCTGACTGGGCTTCAATGGAGGATGCTAGAATATAAATAGATAATAGAATAAAGTCAGGTCTATTAGCCAATGTAGTAAATTCACCAGGAATTGATCATAAAGTTTTAATCCCGTCGAGGTTGACTTGACATGGTATATTGTAAGCAAGAGGGTCATTCGTCCCCATTACTTACCATCCTCTCCCCCGATTCAATAGTATTTGCGAGCCTATCTCAGTTTACGTAAGATGATACAGTAATGGTTGCTGGCAGCAACAGTTTTTCCCAGGATCGATCCCCCGTATAATTCAAACGGGCATCGAAATTACGACAGTCTGAGTTTTCGAGCCCTCAGACTAAAGTCGTATCCATCAGGCGGGAGTTGGTCTTCAGCCGCTCCAAGTCCTTCCTTTGGTTCGGAGTGCCATCTGCACTCGTCCCCTATCGTCCGGTGAAGTTGTAAAGGCCAGCTGTGGCCAAGCATTAGAGTAGTCCGAGAAAAAACAAAAGTTTTAGATGTGTTATAGAGGGCGCTGTCGTAACGGAAAATTGCGAATATATATATAGATTTAAGAATCGATCTTCAAATAATTTTGTGCATACTGTGGGTGGTATTAAGAGTGATATTAGTATAGCTTAGCGTTAAATATGACATACACTAAAGTACACTTACAGACTTATGCTTAATAGCAAATTGTTAAAAATATATTGTGATATCGACTTTAGGGGTGTTAACTTTAAAGTCTATTTTCCAATAAAAATATTTAACTCAGCTTGTTATTAAACCTGCAAATTTTGTATATCAAAAGATAAATATCAGATATTACATGTAGTTGTATACTTTATTTTTTTTTACTCTATCAAGTATTATCTACTGCATACTAAAATAAACTTTTCTCTCCTTATAATAAGTATTAATTTAGTTCGGCAAAATTGATGTTATACTAATTTAGTTAATGGAATTGTAAATTAGAGAAAAAAAGTGCGTTAAAATGGTAAAATATACTTTATTACTAACCGTTTAGGGTAGATATCGCAACATTGTAATATATATACTTATGTCCAATTACAATTGTAGTGTAGTCAGTTAACCTTTGAAATTATTGGTCGGGTATATTCTATATATATATTTAAAACATGTATATAAGTATGTCTATCAGTATTTATGATTTTTTTTAACAATAATCTTGTAAATATAAGAGAATGGAAGGGAACCTGTGTTACAGCATTCTGCCCTCATACTCAGCTCATGGGTAAACAGACAGACATTTATGTATTTTATTATTATATTGCAGTATTAATATATGTTTTATAATTTCCAAAAGTAACCCTTTTAATGTACAAATTTAATTTACTACTATATTTACTTATGTACTAAATCCAGAGCTACTCTCTCTGGACGTAATCTCATTTTCTTAGATTTTTTTTGGCAAAATCTTGTACACATATTTTTAAGCAATATTTTACTTTGTTTTAGTAATTATTTGTACGTTTTGTTGTGTATATGTTGTGTTATCGTTTATAAATCAATTTGTTATCTGTCTTATTTGTTTGCTTTCTGTTTCCCGTCTTTTCTTGTTTATTTTCTTCATTTTTTTTTACTCTTTCTTTCTGTCCCTTTTCCAGATAAAATATGAACGGCTTCAGTCGGGTATCATAGTGAAGTATCTACAAATGTTGGTTAGCAACCGATGTTGAAACAAAAGGGACGGCAGACCGACTGTTTTACTTCCGTCCCGCAAATTGATCTCTAATATTATTTATATTCCAATTCTTCATATATTGTATGTTAATTTATTTATTATTTTTCTGTCTTAGTTTTAAACGGCAGAGTACCTAGGATAGTTCTAAAGGGTATACTTAACTGAAAGCCTTTAGTATTCACCCTTTCAACAATGCGTACATAAAAACAAGTATATTAATATCTTACAGTTAATACTAAACTCAGGAACTCCTCATTCCTTCAGCACCGTTCCACCATCGTACAAGAAGACGTAGGGACCAATTCCACCCATATACAGATGACATCCTTGCTGCTCATCTTTCCTTATGCGAGCAGCTAAGGAGAGGTACTCTCTTACAGGATCTCACGTCAGTGTTTCCTGCCTTTTACAATATTGGGTCATTCAAGTTAATAATTAATAGGCACTATTTGAGCTTGCGTGTAACAACTTGGACCGCATCATCATTTAACATCAGGTGAGATTGAGGTCAAACGCGTATTATGTAATAAAAAAAATGTTTTTATGTACGCATTGTCAAATAATTTCGTTTGCGTTATAATTTTTAAATCTACATTACATTAGAAAATAGACTTTAATGATATATTACTGTTAGTCTATTTTCTAATGTATAGAATGTAAGGCTTTATAATTTTCTGACTCCCTTTTAAAGTAGTGTAATTATTCGTAGATTACGTTACATGTTGAGAGAGGGGGTTGACAAAGTGTGACATTGTGACAAAGGGGGTTCCAAGTTTGATGACGTTACATTTCAAAGTCTAATTCTATTTAAGTGTTATAACAAGAATTTTGTTGTTTAAAAACATGTTAAAACACGAAATTTGATCTATTAACGATAAACTTAAATATATTACCAACTTTACATGTATAAGTATAAGGTTTAAATTGGTTTGTTGACGAGTTTACACTAGTACATAATTGGACAATATGTTACGTCACACTAGGGGGAGTGGTCTGACAAATGTGACCAACTGTGACAAGGACGGGGGAAGGGGTAAAAAAATATGAATTTCATGTGACGTTACTTTATAGTTCCTTGCTTTAGTGACAATCATGACACGAAACATAACCCTTGAGTGTTTCGAAATAATTCCAAAAAAATCCTTATTCGGTTTTGTTTCTTAGTGAATGTTCAGGAATGTTCTAGACTTGTAGTTTGGTATATCCCTTACGGCTAACATTGTATTTATAAATATTTACTTTAATTCTTTATGTATTCGAAATTCTTGATAATTTATTTTTCTACTATTTTTCTAGGAATGGCAACACATGAGTGGTATCACGTGATAACGTGACGTCCTTGCTGTTCATGTATATAAGCGACGGTTACCACTTACCATCAGGTGGGACAGTTTTTTGTCATTTCATTTATATAAAAGAATTATGAAACATATAACGGGGACCATATTATTCCAATTATTAAAATATTGTATTGTAGGTATATACTTTATGGAGTCCATTTAATTTTTTAATGGATTTAAATTATTTTGTTTATTTCCGCTACCATTAGCATGTGCGAGACCACAAATGTTCATTGTAAATTTACTTGGCGGAGTGACCCACCGGTGGGCATGCGGTCTTTAACGTGTTAAGTAATTTATTTTCTGTACTTTATTATTCAAAAATATTTTTTTACGTTTAACTACTATTGTGTTCAGATAATTCGTAAAAAAATTAATCATCAATGAATGAAGTGTAAATTTGTCGTGTAATATTCGTTAGTGCATTGATTCGACCGGGAATGCAATTAGGGATCTCAAAGACAGCTATATAGGTCTATACATTTACTATAAATTTCGGGTGACAAGTCCTGGGAACTGCTCGGAGTTTCCCTCTCTGCCACACGATGGACCCGGCACCCCATAAACCTACACCCGGGTCACAAGTCTCGGGAATTGCTCGGAGATTCCCTCTGCCACACGATGGACCCGGCACCCCATAAACCTACACCCGGGTCTCAAGTCCTGGGAACTACTCGGAGTTTCCCTCTCTGCCACACGATGGGCCCGGCACCCCATAAACCTACACCCGGGTCACAAGTCTCGGGAATTGCTCGGAGTTTCCCTCTGCCACACGATGGACCCGGCACCCCATAAACCTACACCCGGGTCACAAGTCTCGGGAATTGCTCGGAGTTTCCCTATCTGCCACACGATGGACCCGGCACCCCATAAACCTACACCCGGGTCACAAGTCTCGGGAACTGCTCGGAGTTTCCCTCTCTGCCACACGATGGACCCGGCACCCCATAAACCTACACCCGGGTCTCAAGTCCCGGGAACTGCTCGGAGTTTCCCTCTCTGCCACACGATGGACCCGGCACCCGCACCATGAATCCATAGAATGCTAACAACTTCGTCTCTCTCTTGTTGAAACGAGCAAAAGGAACAGATGAGTCTTTTTTTTACTCGAATTTAATTATATATTTTACATTCTAATCAAAGACTTGTGATAAAGTTAACTTATTGTGTAAATTAAGCAATTTATGCTCAATTTAGTTTTAATAGTTAATAGAAATATACGTTTTAATTTAAAAAAAAAAATACAATCGAATTAATTAAATATATCATATATGTTGCGATATTTATTCTAGAAGTTTTAAATAAAATGTAACGAACAAAACAACGTTGTTGATTCTGCTATTGACACGGTCGTTGGATGAGCATGTTGTATATGTAAGTCAGAAGCAGATTGCCTAAATACACTGTTATCTAAAAACCTAATATTGAATTAAGTAATTAAAAAAAAAAAACTTATTTTCCATTCAGACATATAATTCCGCCTGGATTGCTGTAAAATCTAGACACAGATCAGTGAATTATCAAAACCTGGTATTGAATCAAGTGATTAATAAATATTTTCCATTCAGAATCTGAAATTCCGCCTGATTTCTGTCTAGTTTAGACATCAATTGGTTTTTATTAGTGAATTAATATAAAAAGACTTTATTTGCTTATCGAAAAAGACGGACTAAAGCCTATTATAGTGTTAATTATTAGATAATTTGACATTTAATGTCCAATTATAGAAAAAAAACCTTACAAATTATTATTTTCTGTACTTTATTAACCGTTAATCACGGGGTAAGTCCGTTAAATTGAATTACATTGGTGTTAATATTTGTTTTGAAAGGTAACCTTTGCGTCCATATTGTACCACAGATATACATTCGTACAGATGTCCTTTTTTTACCGTAAGTAAACCCTAAACGGTTAATTGTATTCCGGTTAAATTCCTTATTCAATTTCTTAAAGTTAACGGTAAATAGTCTCGTTAACTGTAATTGAGAGTTTAAGTATGGTATCTACCATTAGAGTCATAAATAATACAAGTGTTGATTTAAAATTTATTTTCCTATTTACCAATACCCTTTTATTAACTTTTAATTTCAATTCCTATTTCTCAAAACCCTTGTAATAACTTTTAATTTGAATGTACTTTTTCATAGACAAAAATAATCTACCTTCTCTAAACAAAGTAAAATTTCTTTCACTCTGAGCGTGTTATGAGGTTAGATATTTATCTCAGTCATTGTCTGTGGTACAAACCATTAAATTGTCTAAAAGACTCGTAAAATATATGAATAATAAAAAATCATACGAAAATGTTAAAACAACGAAATGTCTCAGGCGTATCGTTAAAACACTAATGTTGGGTAACTATTACAATGAAATGAAGTGAAGATAATAAAATTATCATAAATACGTTTAATGAATATATCTTTAATATATAATATATAATAAAGCCTTTTAGCGTAATATCTAGTAGTAAAGTGTCCACGAACAATTTTCTTTGTTGAATTATAAACGTGTAATTATTGTTAAGATTTTTAAGACCTGTTTCACATCGAACGATTTGTCAGAAATTATTTTTTCTTGCCTTGTTAAGTTGAAACTATTGTTTTATATAGTTGTATATACTTTATATAGATGCTAAATATAAGTGCCATAAATATTTCTAGTGTGGTTGAAGACTTTAAGAATGGAACGAGATTATATTTTATTGTATAAGATATTTTTGGCGAATAGCTATTTTATAAGTTAACATCCTACGCATGGTTATTCGAAGAATGATTTTTTTAAATGTAATTTTGTCCTGTCTAATTTTTATGTAATTGGTTTGCTAGTAGAGTGCAGTTTTAAACTTAAATTCTGGCATTGTCGTTGATTCTATTGTAATAATTTACTAATAAAGACTATAACAGAATAGCAGAGAGGGTGGACTCACTTCCCCCTCTGAGATATAGACCGTTCTGTCTCGATTAATAACTTTTATTTTTATTATGAACAGAATTTGTAACAGTTCATTATTTGAGACAGATAAAGATTATTATTATTATGCAAATGCACTAAATTGATAAGATTACTAAAATTTTATTTCTACATATTGACTAGTTACTTTCTATAAATAACATACGAATGAGAAATTCATATTGCAATGTAGGGTTAATAATTCTTTATGGGCACTATGTTATTTCTGCAATTAATATAGATTTTCGAAAAATCTTAAAATATATCATTGTATGAATTTAAAATGTATTTACTAGTGATTGTGCAGGTTAATTTAGACCTAGATGCAATTAATTTAGGGGTGTTTTTAATACACCATTAGCTAGTCGCGTAAATGTTACATATCACTGATATTTTGACGTGTAAAATTGTTTAAGACTATGATCTGTATGGCGCACCGTTGATTATGAAACAGGCCTTAGAATCTCTCATATGTATAAGATTGTTTATAATATTTTTATATAGTATTACTAAAGTAATTATGAAATTATCTGTTTTCATAGCGATAGTGTTAACATATTGTTGACCGGTAAAGAATCGACTCGTCTATGCCCAAATGTTAAGTTGTGACGAATTGAATCGTTATTTTACACAGTTCAAGTCCTTTTCATTAAATTATAAATAAAATTTAATGCAATTTAATTATCACGACAGTTTGTGTGTAAAATTGCCGGTCGACAAAGTGTTATCGATAAATTAGTGTTTAATATTTGTGCCCCGGGGGTAACCTTCGTTAAATCTAGTGTTAAAAATTATTTATTCGTAATGTAACTATGTATCAATTGTTTGTAGTAATTTTTCATGTATAATATTTTTCCTCTCGCTCTCTTGCCATCTGGTGGAGTGATTTTTAGAAGGAAGCAAAGCACACGTCGCTTGATGGAACCAATGAGCGTAAGCGGTGGTAGAGTTGGTCGTCAGATGGTACCAACTCATTTTCCAAGGGATTGGTATTCACCAACTCATTTTCCAAGGGCCAATCCCTTGGAAAATGAGTTGGTACCATCATCGCCATGGTACTCAGATGTTATACATCAACACACTTAGCAGTATATTACCGGTGTGCTGTAGCCTTGGCTCACCATATAAGATGTTAATCCCCTTTCAACTATACGGCAATGGTTACCACTTACCATCCGAGGGGCCGTCAGCTTGTTTATCATTTAAGTTATACTAACTTACCATAAGAGGGGCTTGTTTATTATTTTTATACAGAATGTATAACATTACCCCCGGGGTAATAGTCATTAATATGACACTAAACTAAGCCATCTTACGTTGACAATATACTAAAATAGGAGTACATTTTTAAAGCAGAC